ACCATACATACATATATACGCATATATGAAATGCTGAAGAGAATGGAGGTGAGACCTGGTTGCTGGACACAAGGCAGGGAAGGTAATTACGCCCTTACTACACACTATCAGTGCTTGAGGTCCCTCCAAAGTGCAGCTCTACACCTTCTACTTTTGGTTGGACCATTTTTAAAGTCACATGTTTCCATTCCTTAATAAACAATGAGATAAAACAACTTAGTTCCCCCACCCCAAGCAATAACAATTCATTATTGTCTCCTACAAATATCTCCCTAGGCCAATCTTGCAAGTGAAATATGGTACCTCATTTGTTGTTTTAAATAAAATACTGCCTTTAGTGACGTGCTGCACTGATGTATCGCTAAGAAAAGGTACAACTGTGAGCTCTCTGGAAGTTTATCTTAAGTCCTAACTGCTGAATGACAAATCCCAAACTAATGAGAGTAAATAAATATAACACCGTTGTCAGATGGCGTAATTAATTTAAGAACCTAAAGTGCTTTACAAACATTCTTTGTTATGCCATCCATCCGTACAGATAAATATTGTTAGTCCTACGCACAAAGATAGCAAGGAAGGGGCAACAAGGTTCCTTCTTACATCACAACATGACTCACTGGCAAAGTGCAAAGGTGAAGCTGAAGATAAATGAAGAAATACCACTTGGGGCTTAATCACTACTACCATGCCCCACAGGTGCCTCATTCCTTAAGATATCATTCATTTAATCAAGTGCAAGAACATCATATGATTGACAACGTGATCTCCAGTACGCGCCACCTGGGACAGGGCACGATCCTAAGCCAGGTGCTGCAACTACAGCATATTGACTTACATCAACATCCCACCGCTTCTGTTCCCCCAGAAAAGAAAAAAGAGCTCTGTAAAAAGCTTGCAGAAAAGATCCTGGATGAAGAGGAGGCTGCTCACTTTATTTTTACTGAGCCCTTATGGATTGTTTTATTTCTAGTGCTCAAAGTCAGTCTCTAACATGAGGTCAAAAGCGCGGTGTGGGTAAATATCAAGAAGCAGGGGAAAGAAAAAACCTTTCCCAAGGGAACACCGCCACAAAGTCACTTCTGAATTTGATTAAAGTTTCTTTTCAAACAAACAAGGAGGAGAGAAGCAGCAAGAGCACTTCTGTTCCAGAATTCCCATCCCCTCCTGCCAGGCTAACGGGGCCTCACCAGCACAAACCAGCACGCACCACCTCAACACCGGGCACCTAAACATGGACTTCACAGACCTTCTGTCCCACCGAAATCTAAAGGCAGGTGCCCAGTATGTTCTGCAGCTAGTGAATGGTACTTTTGGTACATTCAGGGGAGGTAACTTTTCTGCTCAGAACTTGTTGTTAAGCTCTGCATTAAGCCATTACGCTACGTCTTCCTGCCTGCGCTGCAGCTGACGATCGGAAACGTGATCGTGCATCTCCAGAAACAGCACGTTTTCCGAGTCTCCAGAAAACGGAGATTACCAAATACCTGGAACTTGAGCCTGCCAAAATAAGTTGCTACAAGAGTAGCTGCACACCTGGACGTGTCACCTGGAGAGCAAGCAAGTTAAGTAAATAACACTCTCTTCCTCAAAACAAGCCATGAACTCAGACAGTGCTACTAGGGGGTCTGCACCATGCCCAGCTAATGCTGCGTGTTTAGTTTTTGATAGATTTTCACGTGTTTGATTTATAGATAGATTTGTAGATGTTCCCGGCAGATCCTGGCGTTAATGTTGGTCGATCATTTTAAGATAATGTGGACAGGCAGTGGGGGGAAGCTCACCCACCCATCCTCCTGCCACTTTCTGTGCCTCCAGGTCTTCTCCTCCAGCACGAGGGCGCGGACAACCCGTCCTTTGGGACACGTGCGCTCTCCAAACCCCGAACACAACCCCAAAGAAACACAAACCCAAGAGCAGGCAGGTTTCAGGAGGAGCCACAGGGCAGCCTCGGGCTCTCGGTGCTGCACCCCAGCCCGGGGGCTCCTGGCACCTTGGCGATGCCGGGTCCAGGCCCCACTCAGCGGGGAGCTCCCCGGCACCGCGGGGCCGCTTCCAGCAGAGTTTTGGGGTGCTGCCAACAGCAGGGGACACCACCCCACAACTTGGCAGCAGGGCGCTGCGGCTCCCCAAACCCGACGAGGACCCGCACGGGCGGGCAGGCAGCGCCCTAACCCCCCCCGGGCTCCCCTTCCGCGGGGCCCCCGCCCCCTTCCCGGGGCTGCAGCCCCCTCCCCGGCCCCGCTTCCCCTCCGAGCAGCCCCGGGACGAGCCCTACCGTCTCCTCCGGAGCCTCCACCGCCGGGCTGGGCTCCCCCGGGCCGCCGGCCCCGGAGGTGGTGGCGGTGGCGGCGCCGGGGCCGTGCCCGCTGCGAGGGCGACACCCAGCGGCAGCGCCACGGCGGGCCCGGGGCTTGCAGCGGGGAAGGGGGGCAAGGGGGTGGCCCCCAGGTGAGAGGCCGGGGGGACCCAGCCCTCTCCTTGCTGCAGGTGCAATGCGAGCAACCCGTGAGATTTGTGTTAAAGGAGTCCCACCTACGGACTGCTTTGTGTTTGGTCATTACGGCTGAGAAACAAGAAGTTAACACGTAGAGGAAGACAAGGTTTCCTTGGCATTGATCTGCAAGCAATGTAACGGAGGTTTTCTCCTTTAGCAGAAGCTCGAGGAGATGCTTTCGTGATCCTACAAACCCAGACGTGGCTGGGCTCCCTCACTTATGTGCGTGTCAGTGGGACCTTACCCATGCTCAATTACTGTAAACTTGTTTAATCCAGACAGCCACTTTTGTATTATTTTTTTTTCCTGTTAAGAAGAGGAATTCATAAATTCCCTCAGTTGCCTGAGACAGAAAGTTTTTGACTTGTCTGTGAAACACGGCTCCTTTCTGACAGAGTCCAAGCACATGCAATGTTATGCACAGTGTATGTGCAAAGACTCAGCCCCGTGTCTACCTGCCCTTACTGCCAGTCCCGTGACTGAAGGCATGGCGCAGTTTCATTATGTGCTACAGGCTGTGAAGTTAAATGATGAAAGATTTAAAAAAATAAATTAAAAAAAAAAAAAAAAAAAAGGAAGACAAGAAGAGAAAGAAAAAAAAGATAAAAGGAGAAAAAAGAAAGAGAAAAAGCCAAGTTCAGCGGGGACGCAGAACAACTTGGTGGCACAGAGACAGAGGAGGAGTAATTCCTGAAGTTGATGCAGAGCCCAGGTCAGATTACATTGCCGAGGGGTTGGCAGAAATGCTTCAGCCCTACTCAAAAAACCTATCTGGAGTTGAGCCTGGAGTCTGAGTGGCTCTGAACCTGCAGCCGTAGCCAAGCAGGCAGTCGCTGGCATTAGATTTGTGGGAAGAACTGCATCGTAATCAGCCCTGTCATTCCTGAGCTTCTACACCCTAATTTAGCATTTTAATATCTCCAAATTATTCTCAGCGACTGGTGATGTTTCATAGCTCTTTGTACAAAAGAAACCTAATACCGTCAGTCAGGTTTGTGGGCAAGGCTCACTTCCCCTCGCCAGCCTTGAAACCTAACAGCCCTTTCGGTGCAGATGCGATCAGCCGGTACCGGAGTGAGACAGACGGCCCTTTATGACAGACCTGGAAACTTGTCTCCGCTTTCAGTCAGGAGTTTTCAACAGACTCATGTCCCGCTGGGCCGTCCCACGACAGAATGCTAGAAACTTCACTGGTAAAAGCTCTCGGTCCCAATTCCTGATAGCACACTTAACTTTGAAACACTTCACGCAGCCTTTTGGGACACTAAATCTGTTCAGGCAAAACTTCCAAGCTGGTGGATGAGCTGAGGAGAAAGAAAGGCATTTCAACACATTTGCATATGGGTAATTTGTCATGGCATGGCATAAAAAGAGATTTCTCCCCTTCTTCCCCTATGGAAAAAAATGCTCCTCCATTATCTCAAGTGGATTAGGGCAGCCTGGAAAGCCTCCTGATAACAGCGGCACGAAGGGGATAGAAACAGAAAAACATGGAGCTGGAGCATGGTGAGCTCAGTTCCCAGTGCTACCTTCTCCAGTCCTGTCACTATGGGGTGATGGCTCCAGTGCCCCAGGTGGAGCAAGACATTGGGAGCAGCACCAGGAGCCCCCGAGCAGGAGCCTCACTGAGGGCAGCGGCGCTGAAAAATCCCATCCTCCTGTGGAGTTTTTACTACTACAGCTTTTCTGAGTTGTCCTGCATAACATGCCTGAACGTGAGCTGGCAGTGTGCCCAGGTGGCCAAGAAGGCCAACAGCATCCTGGCTTGTGTCAGGAATGGTGCAGCCAGCAGGAGCAGGGAGGTGATCGTCCCCCTGCACTCGGCTGTGGCGAGGCTGCACCTCGAGTGCTGGGTTCAGCTTTGGGCCCCTCACTACAAGGACATTGAGGTGCTGGAGTGTGTCCAGAGCAGGGCTGCGAAGCTGGTGAGGGGTCTGGAGCACCAGTCCTGTGAGGAGCGGCTGAGGGAGCTGGGGGTGTTTGGTTTTGGGAAGAGGAGGCTCAGGGGAGACCTCATGGGTCTCTACAGGTACTTGAAACGGAGGTGTGGGGAGCTGGGGGTCAGCCTCTGCTCACAGATAACCAGTGATAGGACTAGAGGGAACAGCCAGGGGAGGTTCAGGTTGGCAATGAGGAGACATTTCTCCTCAGGAAGAGCAGTCAGGCACTGGGATGGGTCACTCAGGGGAGGTGGCAGGCATCACCATCCCTGGGGGTGTTGAAGGCGAGGCTGGACGCGGTGCTTGGGGACACGCTCAGTGGGTGACGGTGGCGGTAGGAGGTGGTTGGACCAGGGGGACCTCAGAGGTCTCCTCCACCCCTAATGGCCGTGCTTTCTGCCTCACAGGACTGCCTTGGTGAGGTGGGGGAGGATTGGGAGGAGGACTCGGGCGCCCTCCACCACTCGGCGGCGGGGCCGCGCGTGCGCGCTCGCGCTCGCCGCGTGCCCGCGCGCTGAGGCCGGGCCGGGCCGGGCCGCGCCGCGCTCCGCCCAGCGGCGGGGCCGTGAGGGGCCGCCAGGGGCCGGAGGGGAGCGGCGGCCGCGCCGCACCCGGGTCCCCCCCGCAGGCAGAGGGGGAGCGGCGGGAGCGCGGCCGGCATGAGCCAGGCGCCGAGGAAGCTGCCGGAGGAGGAGGAGGAGGAGGAGGAGGAAGAAGGGGACGAGGAGGAGGAGGAAGAGGAGGAGGAGGAGATCGCGGGCTTGGCCGGCTACGCCGACGGGGCCGGCTCGTTCTCGGACGGGGACGCGGAGAGCGGCGGCGATGAGGCGTGTGAGTGCCCGCGGCCTGCCGGGGGACGGGCCCGCAGCTGCGGCTGTCACTCGGCGGGGCCCTGCCAGGCCCTGTCCCGGGGCAGCTCCCCGCTAACAGAAAATTAAACAAAAATCGCTAAAAAATGGGGGTGGTTCGCCATAGTGACGCTGTGAATGTGGAACCCCATAGGAACAGCCCTGTGCCTGTGCGTCCCGGCTAGCTGAAGGCAGCCCGTGCAGGATTAAGGCGAGGCTTATTTTAACCCTCCGGCTCCCCTGGCCTTCTGTTAGCTCCGGATCTGAAAAAGAGGGTTAAAAAAAGCACCGTGAGATTTGGATCATTTAATTTTTATTTATTTTTTTGTACCTAACCGGGCTGCAGGGCTCTGGGGCTTTCCTTTTCCCATTTTCTGCCCTACCCCTTCCCAGGTCTGTACGGTGAGCAGTCCCACATCCAGCGTCACAGCCTCGCAGTTCAGTGTTTCTCTTCCATTTCAGAGGAATAACGGAAAGGGCAGTGCAAGGAGGACAGCCCCCATGCGTGGCTGTTGAAAGTGAAGGGGGAAGCCAGAGCCGAAAGTAAAAATGTAATCTGTGCTTGTGGGCACGCTGGAAAATTCAGAGCTTTGTGGTGGTCATCTCTTACCTTGTGCTGGTTTCTTGTCTCTGACCTGTGCTGAAATGACTGCTTCATCTTTTGACTTTACACATGGGTTTGTATTCAAAGACCTTAAAGGCTTGGTTCACGTAAAGCCCAGTCATCTTTTTGATATGCTCCACTAAAACGTATTTGCAAGCAAGGAAACCTCACAGGTTACTTCCTCAGACACTCCGCAAGTCATACCCTCGCTGAGTGCCACACTTGTGGCAGGGGAGAGCCAGGTCTTCTGGTTCCGAGTTTTTCTTTGGCCGCAAGAATTTCCTTCCACCAGGCATTTCTGCAATGTTCATAAACCCACAGGAGCTGTACAGCATGGGTGATTGCATATAAGCTTTTTCTGTTAACTCCTTAGGCTAAGGCCATCTTTAATGCTGAAGATGTTCAGTGTATGAATGCATGTGTTTCATAAGTTTTGACAGCATGCTGCAAGCGTCACAGCTGCAGACAGTAGCACTGGAAATGCCATGAGATGAATGGGCCTTGTAGGCACAGGAGTGAGAAGTATGGGACTGGTCGTTCTCCTCTGTGCAGAAAGGGTGAAAACTTCAGAATAACATAATTGAATTGCATTAGTGGGCAAAAATACAACCCTACCATAAATCATTATTAGCTCTATGAGTTGAAACTAGACTCAGGCTCGTTATCTTGTGCATGATAAAATGAGCAAAAACTTTTCTTTTGGTCTGGCATAGCTTGAGCAGGTGAGCTGAGAGCTAGAGCCTTGATACTGGTGAGATCTCAGAGTACACCTGCCACCACAGCATCCCCTTCACGTACAGCTGTGAAGCACTGATAGCCACAGGCTTCTGAAAAGTAACTGAAATTGATAGGAAATTTGGGACAGGTTTCCAAAAAATCAGTGAACATCTTGAATAATGTGAAGGAGATGTTGGATTATTGATACTGTGTGTGTCGTGGTGAAACAGGTCGGGACTGCTACGTGCAGCTCTCGACTCTTCAGAGCTGGGCTCTTCTGCATGTTGCAATACACACGAATTACGCTCTGTAAGCAAGGACATCACCCAATTCCTGACCAGATTTCTGTAACTGCAGTCCTTTTGTGTTGGGAAAGTGCTTTGGGGTTTGTTAAAATTAATTTGTGAATACTTCAACGGCTCTGGCCTCTAACCAGCAGTTAGAACTGAAGAGTTAGAACCAGCAGCAAGACTTCTGTTCTTAATGGCCGCTTAGAAAAGTTGAAATGTGAAGGGCTGCTGGTAAGTGTTAGAAACTGCCATTTTATGACATTTTATTCTATGCAAAAGTGAATGAAGCAGGAAATGTGTTTCATCTAATGAGATGGAAAATTATCTTACCCATTATGGGATAGAGCACAGTTCAGTGTTTCTCTTACGCCCATTATAATCTCACTTAGTAACCTAGTCTGGGGAGTTGCAAGGCTACATCTACTGGCATTTCTATGGCAAATTAAAGAAGGAGTTGTCATGCACTCAGGAAAGGAATGTGGGCAGGCAGTGCATCATCCAATTCCTTTACATATAAGGTAATCTCTTAACTCTCTCTCCAAGGAAAGTGCTACAGCAGCACTGCTATCTAGTCAGGTTTGGATAATATTAATTTACATTTCTCTGTCTTCAGCTGGCAGAATTTCAAAGGCTAAGTAACAGGCTTACTAGCAGAGGAGATGGCATTCTGCTTGCTAGTAACTGTGTGCACTTGCAGCTCTGCTTCTTTACAATGGTTTTGGGATAAAGCAATTCCTTTCTAGTAAGGATTATGATCGATAAAAATGTATCTGCCTGGAAAAATGTAATACAGCAACAATATAAAGCCCCAAGTTATTTAAAATATATTTTTTTAGATACACTTGAGTTCTTAGCTTATCCCTTAAAGGAAAGGGAATGATTTATAGCTGGCTTCTCTTCTACTTGTCTCATGACCTGTCAGCACTTTGGAAACTGCTGACCACCTTCACCAGAATTTGAAGGCAAGAAGCCTCAAAGATGATAAAGTTCATGCAAGTTTGATGAAAACTAGCTCTCAGAAGAGAGGAGAGACCCCAGTGAAAGCGTCCTCAGAGAGACAGGCAAGCAGATGCACACTGTTTGCTGCGGCAGCACTTGGCTGAGCGGAGCACACGCGCGTTGTGCCGAGCCAGTCAGCGCGTGTCTAGCTGCAGGTCGGCCACAGCACGCCGTATCTGTTACTTGGAGGATGTGTCATAAGACATGCAGGGGAAGTTGGTGTCGTGGTGGCGAGAGGAAAGGGAAACAGAGTACAAATCCATGGCAAACTGGGCTTCGTAAGTTCTGGTGTGGGCAGAGCAAATTGGAGTTTCTTCATTCTTTGAAATGTGCAATAAAGCATTGACCCAAAGGCTGGTTTTCTTATATGCATTTATAAAGAATTTTCTTCAAACCAGGTCTTGTAAAGCTTGAATAAATATTTTCTTCCTGACACTCAAGGTGCAAATTGCAGGATGTATGGATATATGAACATTAATGAAATATTGGCTATAGTTTTGGCAGCTGTAGAGAATTTGTGGGGTGAAGAAGAGAGTAGGGTGAAAGAAACTGTTAAATCCTGTGACTGGTTTGCTTCCTTGACAAGCCTGTGCCCTGCGGAACATAAAACACTGTCAGATTGTCCTATTTTTATCCCTGTTATTATTCCTCTGTAAGCGTGAATTATTGTAGGCACATGCTTCTTGCAGTCCCAGAAAGATGATATTGGTGGTGATGATATTGCAGTGTGCTGTCTGGGCTTTATTACTTCCTAAATGCCGCTGCCTGTGGATCAGCAGGACCTGTCCATTGCTGCCTTACCAACACCCTGCTGCTGTTTTGCTTCAAGGCTTTCATCTGTGCACTGCTGCATCCGTAGGTGGCAATTGACAGGAGCACAGTAAGTGGTAAGACCTGGCAAGGCCTTTCAAATGTATTTAAAACGCACAGGATCTTACAGATAATTAGTTCTGTCCTAATTGCCTGTGCTCTCCGTCACTGGGGTGCCCTGGGCTCACGCTGAGTGGCGTGGCTGCTCGTGAGCCAGCAGGTGGTGCCAGGGGGATGGATGTTGTGCACACACTGCCAGCCAGTTGTGAAGCCCAGTTCCTGGATAACAAACGCTCAGGAGGCACAAAGGGACACAAACAAGATTCCGGACATTCCTGGTGGGCACATCCTGCTTGGCTTTCACGTGAGAACAGATTTGATAACTGCGTGTGGACGTAAACTGTTCTCCTGGGCAAAGGACTCTTCCAAGCTTTCTGCGTTTTTCAGTCCGCAGGGCTATGTGATAAATGGGCAGCCTCACACTGCTGCTTCTGTGCTGCTGCTTCTGGATTTCGGTACTCTTGGAGTAAAAATGATCCCTTGGAAGTATGCAGGGCATATGGAGGAAGGATGTTTGTTTGAACAAATGTGTTTCTCTTTTCCTGCAATTCAAAATTCACCTTAGCAGAAGAAGAGCAAGAAATACAATTATGCAGTGCCCTGAGTTACGTTGAATAGTCTGTTATGCGGTAGGTGGGAGAAGGCCTGCCTGACAGCTACTGTGTTCAGCCTGCCCCAGCACTTGGGAATGTTCTGCTTCAGTCACACCAGTTTCAAATTAGGGCAGGTAACACAACTGAACCACTTCGTTCCCAAGCATTTGTTTTACACGCAGGTGAGGGATATGCTGTAAACTTACAGTCTGTAAGATGCTGTTATCTGATAAGTAACACAAATTATTCAACTGTGGGTGAAATCTTTACCTTACAAATGAGCTCAGTGCTATTTTGAGTTCCCATAGAGGAAATGTCTGCATGCTGAGTTGTCTTCTTCCTATAGCTCCTGGGATGTGTGATTTCTTTTTTTTAAAGGAAGGAAACCTTCACGTAGCTTTTTGAAGTCACACAAACATAACTAACACAAACACGCTCCTTGCTTTCATGACCTAGCTATCAGTTGACAAGGATAGCTGGAAAGGATATTCTTTTCTCAATAGAAACTGAGCTATCATACCTTCTGCAGTCTCTGTTACAGGTGAGAAGTAGGTTTTATGATGGTGTGTACTGAGGGCAAAGAATCCAAGTTAAAATGTCAGCAGGACCACTCCCTAAGTTTAAAAATCGGCAATATTTGCATAAATCCAGTAAAAATGGTCAAAAAAAAATGTCAAATACATATTGTCTGTCAGTCACTAATTATGTTGTTATAATATGTTACTCTTCTTGCATGATTTTATTCAGTTTTGGATTTCAACGATCCCTTCAGTACCGAAGTTAAGCCAAGGATCCTGCTCATGGGCTTGAGAAGAAGTGGGAAGTCTTCCATTCAGAAAGTTGTCTTTCACAAAATGTCACCGAATGAGACCCTCTTCCTGGAGAGCACAAACAAGATCTGCAGAGAGGACGTGTCCAACAGCTCCTTCGTCAACTTTCAGATATGGGATTTTCCTGGGCAAATTGACTTCTTTGACCCTACGTTTGACTATGAGATGATTTTCAGAGGCACTGGAGCACTGATATTTGTTATTGACTCTCAGGTAAGAAGAAGAAGGGGAGGGGGGTGCATTTAAACTACTTTTGTCTCTTCTTCCTTCAGCAACAGGCAGATAGATTGGAACGTGTAGATTTTTTCAAAGGAAATAAATAACTTATGGTTACAAACACACATTAAAAAAAAAAAAGTCGTTAAAACTTGAAAAGCTGCTAGGTTATTTTTAAGTCTGTCTCCCTTTGCAAGATGTTTGAAACAGTTAACTAGGTTGCTTTAGCATTTGAAGGTTCTTGTTCAGACTCCCAAATGCTGACAGCGAGAAATTGGTGCACTTGCTAGATATAGGCTGCTGTCTGTCATAAGAAATAAAATACTCGTTGTTGAGCTGTAGCATTTTCTAAAAGTAATTATTGTAAAATTTCAGTTATTTTAAAGAACTTTCCTAGGTTTTCTATTTTTCCTTCATTAGGATGATTACATGGAAGCATTAGCTCGGCTGCATCTTACTGTGACCAGAGCCTATAAAGTGAATCCAGACATCAACTTTGAAATCTTTATCCATAAAGTGGATGGTTTATCTGATGATCACAAGATTGAAACGCAAAGAGATATTCACCAGAGGGCAAATGATGACCTTGCAGATGCTGGATTGGAGAAAATTCACCTCAGGTGAGAAAAGCTGCTGCACAGAGAGCCTTAAGTTGAAGAAAAGCAGTTTATTTAACAAGATATTATTTTGCATTCTCTTGAAGTAGTGGGAAACGAGATTTTGACATACGGAGGAAAAAATTAGTCACAGATACTGTATTTGACCTGAGCCAAACAAAGTATTTTATTTCTGAGTGTTGCCTTGGAAGGCAAGATAAGGAGGGGAAGTGCCTAAAAGCACAACAAATATGCTGAAGTCCTACCAGTATTTTTGCTGCAGCTGCCGTCTTGATGTAAGAACCATGGGCAGTGGAACCAGCTGGTAGTGTATGCACTGTCTACATCACTTTTGTCTCCTTCAAACCCCTCCTCTGCCTCACAGCCCCCTCCCAACCACTAGTCCTCACTGCTTTGGCCTTCTCAGAGCCACGTGGGAAAACAGGTGTTCTCTCTTTTCCTTGTGTCTGGTGTTAAAGCAGATTATTGGAGCAAGTAGTTAAAAACAAGGGACTGATGCAGACTGGGATACTAGGCAACATGAAGTTTTCATGTCATCCTTAGCCCTTAAAGCCAAGTAAAAATACTCATGTAAGCAGAGAGACCTGTTTTGCTGACATGCCGCCTCATGCGCTCATAAAAAATGGTGTTGTTGCATTGTTAAATTGGACCACAGCTTTCAAAAAGTGAGTCACAACAGGCTTATTCAGTAATGTTCCTCTCCTGCAATTTGAAAAATATTTTCCTAAGGTTACCAAGGTGGGAGTTGCATCATGAAGTTCTCCATCAGGTGCTAATTTGCAGTGTCTAGTTTTTTTGTCGTGTAGAGATGCGTAGACCCATGCCAAGCATAATCCTGAGAATTTAGTTTCTGTGTGAAGTCCTGTGCTTCAATCATAACATGTGACTTTATCACAAGGGGTAATTGTGTAATTGCAGGCACTTGCTGTTTGACAATATTTCATTTCACTCGTAGTATGAAAGGTACATCGTGTTCACAGTATGTGGCTAAAAGGAAAATGTGGTGACGTTTTTTTCCAGCTTTTATCTGACAAGCATATATGATCATTCTATATTTGAAGCATTTAGCAAAGTGGTACAGAAACTGATTCCACAGCTCCCAACACTGGAAAATCTGCTTAACATCTTTATTTCAGTAAGTACTTGTTACATACTTTGTCTGTAGACCTAGCTATGTCCAACATTGCATGTTCAGCTGTTCTGTTCACTGCCTGCTGAGAGATTGTGAACATTGTGAGCTTTCAGAGAAATGATCAAAGCTTAGATGGAAGGCACCCACCTGCAGCTAGGCCTCACCTCCCTATTTGTCTAACAGTGCTGCTGAGACTTAGTATTTCCTGAGTGAAAACGACAGTGGGTTAGCAGCCATCACTTTTCTGCTCATGTATCCAGGTGAATGTTGCAAAGGTCTGTGCTGCATGCATTGCTTAAGTACTACTTGGAATTTGTGCAGATAAATTCTTAAAGGAGCATCATCTAGTCTGACCTCTTACGTAGAGCTGGCTATGGTACATCCTAGAATTAATTCTACTTTGAAGTTTACCTCTCAAGAAAATCTTCTTATCCTAATGTTTTTAGAGGTAGAGGCCGTGACAGCTTTCACAGCTTCCACAGTTACTCCTAGGTCAGTTAGGGAGCTTTGTGTAATGACTTGTTACCACTGTGGAGGTAATTGCTTGTTTGACTGTTCCTGGCCGTGTGCTCCCATTACCTCTTTGTGTTAGTTGTGACACATGCCTGTTCCCTTCTGGAGTCACTCTGACACATGCTCACGCAGCAGAAGGCCGTCCGGTTCTTCTGATGGTTTAATTTAGTCAAAAGCTTTTAATGGAAGAGTCCAACACGCTCCTGTTTGGGCACAAGATAAGAGGTAGGGACATGTGGCCATGAGCAAAGGCGAACACAGGCAGTAGTTTGTGAAAAAGGGGAACTCCTTCTGGTGGTCATGGATCCAGCTCCAAAAATTGCACCTTTTCTTCTCACAGCATTATGATTTTGCACCTTGCATCTGGCATTAATTTGTCAAACTTCAGTGTCCAAGCAAGGCGTTTTGTTTTGCCTTTTTGTGATTCTGAAGTAATGAAACTTACTTAATAGCATTCAACAGCCTGCAAGATAAAATTAGACTTCACAGTTTCTCAGTGTGGGGTGTGAAAATTGAGGGAGAGGGAGTTGGATGTGCTGCTGACATGGGGGAGCTAGGAATGTCTTTCCAAAGCTTATTCTCTTACTATTAGGCAATCGATGATGACATTTCATATCGAAGGTTTTATTACAAAGATCTGGTTCCACCAAAATGGCCGGACTGTACACCAGTTATCATCCAGCCACTTAGGATAGAAAAATAATGAAAGGAGGATGATTATAGCTCTGGAGCAATTTGATATTATTCTGAATATGCTGCACAGTATTAATGAGGAGGCTGTCTGAATGGTAATTGTCCTGGTGCCAGAGCCACCCCAGTCACTCGTACTGTAAGTCTGATCTCTTTATGGGGTCTCCTCGCTGTTTGTACCAAACCACCACATGAACTGAGCACAAGCAGTTTTCTGGATGATGGCAGTTGCTTGTGCATCTGGGACACCCTTGAGGAAGGTCCCATAACATGTAGAATATGAGATGTAATTGGTAAGGAGGAGCCACTCATTCAAATGAATGGGAAGTTCAGAGAAGTGCTTCTGAGAGAGATATTTCCCATACATGGAGTCTCAGACTGTGTTTGTATGCTCCAAATAGAGCATAATCCAGTTTGGTAGTGGCGTAGAGCAAGACATCGCCGCATGGCTGTGTCCTCAGTGTGCTTGCCTTCTGTTTTTAAGAGCATCTTGTGTCTGTAGACAGGAGACTTGGAATGACTCGATTTAATAAGAAGTTTAGGAAGACTAAACATCATCCTCCAGCGTAGAATTAGTGGGCGCCTCTTTACTTTAGCAACTTACTGACAACAAGTCAGGTTAGGAATCCTGACACAGATTTTGGTCATGCCTTGCCTCGGGAAGCCAGTGTGTCGGGTGTCAGTGTGGGCGTGTTGGTGTTCCTGTGCGAGTTGTAGCAACATTCATGAGGATGTGCTTTCATTTATGCCACGAACACTTCCAACACAAAAGCTGGTGACTACAGAAATAGATCTACGATCACCCCTGAGTTCACCTCAGGTTTTTACACCACTTTTACAGTGGCACAGTGTGTTAGCTTGTACAGCTTGTATATTTGAGCATCCATCAGCATGCTAATACTGCTTCTACATTTTTTTTGTCTTAACTGTCTGTACAGTGTGAAGTAATAGCTGGTTTGGCATTCAGAACCCATGTAAATCTTGGCTAACATTCTACCAGCTTCTTAGAGAGGAAAGGCTGTTTATTTATTTATTTATTTTTATTCCTACGGCCTTAGCAAGCAGTCAAGTTGTGTGCCATGGGAATGTGGATTTTTCTTTTTAAGTGCTGTTAAAAACAGTAAGCTATCACAGTGAACATAAAGTTAAGTATAATTTTGTTTAACAATTTAATTATCTATAAATTAAGCTATAGTACACGAAATCTTCTCTTTCCACAAAAGCTGTTTAACTGTCCAAAATTCATTTCTCTCTACAAATGACTAGTGATATCCTTGAAGTTCATTTCAAAACAACATATTAGGGCCAAAGAAGGAAAGGGATAGGCTTGTTTACCCAACCTAACAGTTGCTTTCATACTGTCATTTTCCCTATCTGATTGTTAATGATATAAAGTCTCTTTGAATAGTGTTTTTTATTTTTTTTATTTTTTTATTCAGTGTTTCCTGACTTCTTATGACTTCATAATCACTGTTTGTACTGGTATCTTTTTTCCTTGAGAAATTTCCTCACAAACATTCTGGCAAATTGTTTGCTTTTGTAGTTAGAGGCATAATATAAACCCTGACAAACGAAATCAGTGAGGTCACGTGGGTACAGTTCAGTGGTCACTAATACTGCCAGCCCGTCCTACCCTTTCACAGAGGTTTCTGTCACCATACAGAGTTTGACAGAAGCAAATGCACACCAGTTTCTCAGCAAATCCCACCACAATGTATTAGTTTCAGCTAAAGACAATGATAGTTTAAGTTAGGATGCCGAGCTACCAGCACGTGTAGCTGCTGGCATGGCAGACTTCTCCAGGTGCAAACCTTTTAAACTGTCACTGCAAGTGCACACAAGCTGCAGCTGCTAGAGCTCTGGGATGGGTATGCCACTTCTCCTTGTTAGATGCTACAATATTGTCACTTCAGTACTATTGTACTTAGAGCAGGTTGGATATGGCTGGGTCCTGTTCAGCTTTTTTTTTTTATCTGTATGTCCAAGGATGGAAGCTCCACAACCTCTCAGGTTGTCATGCTTCTAGTGCTTGATGCCAAAAACCATTTTTTTTGTCTTGTATCAAGTCCGAATTCAGCTCTTTTGCCTCTTGTCCTTCAACACCGTAGCTTGGAGAAGAGATGTGCTGCCTTCCACACACCCTCCCATTAGGTATTTGTAGACAGCAATGAGCCTTCTCTTCCTCAGGGTGAACAAACCCAGTTCTCTCAGAGTCTCCTTGTACATTGTGTGCTTCAGCTCCTGGACATAAGATATCCAGAGGGTGTACTTGGTCTTGAAAAGTTATTTTTTTTATTAATGAATTACAGAAATGGGCCATACATGAAGTTCCATAAAGAACTACAAGAATTTAATCTGTTACTGCTATTGATTTATTGATGGGTGTTTCCAATCTTAGTTGTGTGTCCAGCAGTAGAAGAATTAAACTTTAAAATGAAAATATCCAAAGTACTGCTGCCTTTGTACTCCGTACAATGGCATACCAGGGGCTGGAATCTTTCTGCTTATTTCAGAGGAATTGGAAAGTGTGAGGGTTACTTTTTAGTCTCTTAATTAGGTGTTAAATTGCTCACTTAGAAAAGAAAGAATAAGGAAAAGAAAATTTCTGTAACTACAAAGGAAACAGTAACTAATAAAACTTGTTATGGCTTTTCAGAGTGTTTTTGACAGTTACAAAACTGCTGTGGCAGCAGTCCCAAACCATACTGAAAGGGAAGCCCATATATGGGAAAAAAATATTGTTTGATGGGAGAAAGAGGATTCTTTTCCTGTGTATTTGGATGATGAAGCATGTTTGTCAGCTTGAGCTTTAGCAATACTGGGAAATTGTCCTTTGTGTTCATCCTGGGACAGCTGCCCAGGTGCAAACCCTTGATATCAGCAAGCAAAGCTGCGGCTTTCAGTTAAACAGTACACATTTTCCTTTTTTTTTTTATCCCTCCAGGAAAGAGAGGTTTATGATAGTTTACCTTATCTGCACAAAGGGTATGAGCTGAAACTGAGTTAGCATTCCTGCCTAGCCTCTGAGAGCTGCAAATACGATACAGCTTCAGCATGGAGAGAGTCTTGATCAACTTGGCAGGATGACAGGAGCGTAGACGTTGTAGTACTAGCAAGCCTTGACATCATAAAAATAACTTTAACCACCAGTTCCACATGAAAAATGAAAGAGTGCTATCGAAACAGTGGTCTTTCTCCTATGATCCTAAAAGATCTAAGGAACAAGGCAGTAGAACAACTACAGGCCCTGATGAGACTGCTTCTCATTTTCGTTGAGGAATTAGTTCCTGATTCCTACTTGCCTCCTTTGTCCTCAACTTTTCCTTTTCATCGTTTCCATCAGCTTACGTGTTCAGTTTTCTTTTTATGTCCATTCTCACAATCAGAAACAAGAAGCCAAATCTTAATCTTGGAATTTTTTCTCGCATTTTCACTGAAAATAAATGTAATTTATCCAGATGCTTTCCAGAGAGGAAGCTGGGGAGTCTGACTTGGCTCAGAGGCAGAGACATTGAAAGATCTTCAGCCATTACAGCTTGCTACAAATAATTCAGTGCTCTAAAGTTCTTTGAAAATGAGCTTGATTGCAAATTAACTCCCGCTTACTCAGCCTAACTTTTTGTATAGTAGGCAAGTAGGGGAACAAAAAAAAAAGCTTGGTAGTAATTTGTAGACGTGGCTTACATTTTCTTTTTCTTTTTTCTTTTAATAGAATTCTGGGATCGAAAAAGCATTTCTATTTGATGTAGTCAGTAAGATCTACATTGCAACGGATAGCACTCCAGTGGATATGCAAACTTACGAGCTCTGCTGTGATATGATAGATGTTGTGATTGACATTTCGTGTATATACGGGTAAGTAAATTGTTAATGTCTTTCATGGAATGATCTCAAAATTGGAATGATGTGGGTGTAAACAATAATGAGGAGGAGTAATTTATCAGGGCAGGGGAGGAGGAGGAAATGGCAGGCCTCTGAGGTGCAGATAAACTGCCAGCAACAAACTGTTCCCTGTTCAGCCTCTCATGTGAGGACCTTCCTCTTTCTATGTATTTTTTATTTTTTTTGTAGGAAGGAGTGGTGAGTAGTTTTATAGTAGTTTTGTTTACTTTAATAGCTAGTGGCCTCTACTGCAGGGAGCTGCTTCACTCTTCCTTCAATTGTTTGCCCTCTCTTCCCTGTGTTATGTTGGTATTTTTTCAGCTTCCCCTCTGTGTCCTTTAGCAACTGGGGAACTTCTGGAGTAGCTTGCTCCTTTCCTTGCAGGTTATATTGGTGTTTATGGCTTGCTCCAGTGCAATGCCAGCTGCTCCTGAAGCAGGCGGGGGCACACTAAGAATTAGTGCATTACTTGGCGGCTAATCCACAGTATGCTTATAAAAGCGTGGTAGTTCTTGTTAGTCTGGGATTCCTACCATTTTTTTGTTGCAGTCTTGGAGAAAGTATGAGGTGGAGGTGCACAATAAACATCAGAACTTGAAAAGAACAACAAATTGTTCAATACCTCTGTAAAACTTTTAAGTTGTGTATCTTTCAGATACTGGATTTGGTCACCTCAGTAACTCTACAAGAACTTGTGTTTTCGAGAGGCGTGCAGTCAAGGATTCTGATTCTGTAGCTTTTTTATTTTTGTACAAATATAAAGCTGTGTAGTTCAAATGACTGCGTTTAATTATTATCTGCACAACAGTCACCTGGGGGGCATTGTAATCCCAAAATGTCTCTCTGCCACTGACTTTGTGTGATCGTGTAGCATTTGCCACCAGAAATCTGTCATGTTTTTTAGGTATAGACTGAAGATATGACACTAGAATTAATTTCTTGTTTTTCATTCCTGGAGCGTCTGTGGGTTTTGCTATTTTAATATATTATTAATGCTAGTTATTCTGGGAGACTGATGATAACTTCCCATTTAACAAGATCTGTGTGTGCATTCAGGAATGAAGGTAAAATTACAAGGTCCGAAGCTAATACAGCGATCATCATGAGGCATCATCTGTGAAAGAGAAATCTCTTCATGATATGATGCTGCAAAAGCCAATGTGTCTCATGAGGAAGGTCTCATGATGGCTTAAATTATCAGTCAGCTGCCACTGCTTAAGCAAGGTTGTTGGATTTGGAATTATCAGTACAGATTTAGTGGTTCACGTGTTTTAGATGAAGTTGTAACGCAGTGCATTGAATAAAAGAAGGCAGACAGCCTTGTAGTAAATGGTTTGCAAAAAATAGGGTTCCAGTTCAGATACTTGGCAATCTGATTTCTAGCCCCAGATCTAAGATCTGTTGTGTGTTTGGATAAATTATTTAATCTCTATGTCTATGTAGTTTACATAGTTTTTACGTAGTGGGTGGCTTAGAAAAGAGTTTCCCTGAAAGATAAAAAACAGTCTTAAAATTTGAGATTATTGGGTGAAAGAACCAATATGGAAATACATTTGTTAATACACCTGGTGTTTTACCTTGTTTGTTTGTTTGAATATTGCCCTTTAGGCTTAAAGATGATGGCAGTGGAACTCCTTATGACAAAGAATCAATGGCAATCATAAAACTGAACAATACAACTGTCCTTTATTTAAAAGAGGTGACAAAATTCCTTGCTCTTGTTTGCTTCGTCAGAGAAGAAAGCTTTGAGAGAAAAGGTATTTTTCCCTTTTCTGATATTGCATTGCACTTACTTTATACTAATGAATTAATGCATAACTGTGTGATTGTCATTAGCTAATAAAGTCTCTAGCTGTACGGCAAATATTGAAGGTAAGTACAACTTGATAGAGCTTACATAACGTGTTTGAAAGCACGAGGTATTTGTGCTGGCATTAAGATAAGATGAAATCATAAACGTATTTGACAGCTTTCTAGTATGAAAGCACACAGTTTACATCCAGTGCAATAAAGCTTCCATCTGCAACAGGAGAATGTGTCAATTTATCTTGGCTAACGTTGCTTTGTACCTATCGGTACCAGCATATGCATTTGGAACAGCTTGAGTGCCATAACCAAGGGAACTTTACTGAAGCTGGCTGATAGAAATATGTTCTTGTTTTTTCTTTGAAAGAAGGCTTTCAAAAAGCAGCATATTTGGGAAGCATTTTTCATATTTTTCTATTTCATATTTTGCAGTTAAAAGTGTGTAACGTTTCTTGGTTGTATTGATCTGACCCTGGGCAAGGTCAATACTGAACGCTTAGTTCATTATCACTCTGCTGACTGTGGTGGTCACTGAGTTCCTGGCCTCTGTCACATGTCCTGAGACTGCAACTGAACAGTGGAAGAATGAGCCATCATTTTGGCCTGTGACCCTTGTGAGATTAATTCACCAGTTGGTGTGTTTGTGAATACAATACTCCTCTCATCTCTGCACTAAGAAATGTTACTTTAGCATACCCACTGACAGGGCTGCTTCAGAAAATACACCTTGATGAACAAACGCTCATTAGGCTTTGTCCACAGTTGTCAGATTGTTTTATTTACATAGTTTGAGACTCTTCATGCAGTAGTCAGTACTCCTTAACAGCATAGTTGTAGTATTATAATGCAGATTAACTTTGGTGTCTGGAAACTTCCACATAATATTTTGTCTGAACTTAAGGGAGAAGGAAAACAAATCCTGGGAAAAAAAAAAAAAAAAAAGTAAATCAGCATGACATAGTGGATTTAAACCATTTCAAATATGGATCATCTCCTGTTAAGGAAATTTAGGTGGAAAACACTATGGTATTTGATTTAAGAAAGCTTAATTAAGAAGGCAATTACCTTGTACGAGGACCTATGCTCAGTACCAAAATTCTGAAAGTGTATTGCTGTATTAGACATTTTGTAGCACCCAGCAAGTCTTTGGAGTGACTACCAATATGGCTTTACAGCTTTTCTGTGGGATCACGTTCAACCCACTCACACGGTTAATATTAACTGCCTACTATGGATGTATGTATAACAACATAGCTATCGTGTTATTTTTCAATTACAGTGTAAAATTAAGTGTAACTGGCTGCTATTTGGGAACACGGCTATCGAGTATCCATTTCAAAGCCTGTGCATTATCAAAATGAAAACTCTTTGACTACTAGGTGCTACTTATTTTTATCACAGTTCCTATGTAACGCAAAGTCACAAAATGACACCATAATTTGGGAAATAATTTTTATTGTAGTATGCTGAACACTTCTCCAGTGCTCTTAAGTAAGTTAAAGCTTTGTAATCTGCCAAGGCACTTCTTCTGTGTATCTTCTCTTAAGACTAATATGTGTATTTAATACAGGATACAGCATGGAACTGTAATGCTCACTGAATTGCTTGTATTTATCAAATATACTTTTGCTTAGCATAGAAAAAAATGCTTAGAAAATTCACAGATTGTGACTTCGAGAAAGAGGAGTGTGGTATTTCAGTAAATATAGAATATAAACAAATCTGTCATTACTTAATTTGTGTAAAATTTGTGCAAATGTCTTTATTAATATGGAAAACATTTTTGTCTCTGTAGGATTAATAGACTACAATTTCCATTGTTTTCGGAAAGCCATACAAGAAGTATTTGAAGTGAGAATGAAAGTAGTAAGATCTCGAAAACATCAAAGCCACATGCAAAAAAACAAGAGACCCACTCCCAATGGGACACCAAGAATGCCACTGTAACTGAGGTTTTGTAGACTGTGGCAAGCAAAACTTTCATGAAGTTGATGTGACTTCTGCATCTCATTGCACTGCGTGGAGAGGAAAACCAGTGGGACTGATGTATTATATGAATTTTCCCTGAATGTTCAGAAAGCACTGTTTAAATATTTTTATCCAATCAGTTTTTTTAATATAGTGAGCACTTTGAGCAAAATGTTGTATATATAAGCATTGAGGTGAACACTTGTAAGAATTTTCTTAATATATGCTGTAAACCTTTTTCATGCCATATTAAGAAAAAACAGCTGTGACAGAAATACTGGGTACATAATTTGCACTTTTTCATGTTTTCCTTGTGGAGTTGGACTTTGATAAACTTAGTTTTTATGGTGATTTTGATGCATGGTGTCAGGTAAAATGTATGCTGTAGTTTATTTACCTGCTACAATCAAATTGGTTAGTAAACAATTAAGAAAACTTGGTACAAGGCCTTTTAAAATTTGTGACAGCTAATACCTAACATTCATACAGATCTAACTTCATATATTTTTTGATTTATAATCTGAAGAATAATTTTGAAGTATTACAGCAATAAGTACCTTACCAGGGATCATAACTGGTAGGTAAATATTAGCTTTTATAAAACAGGTTTCTGGCCAAATTTCATCTAGAGTTCTCCATAACACTGGTAATGCCCTCTGGGTCTATTTATATTATTTACCTCAGCACATTTACCAGTTAAATACCTTTCTATAAAGACAACTGTTTTGTAAAATGGCTCTATGTTGCACTGGTATTTTTATAAGGCTTCGGAGGAGGGTGGTGTATCTGAAAGGTCGAATTTACATTACTAAATTTGTTTTGAGAGCCTGCACATCTGCAGCTGGTGCAGTGAAGAATCTGTGCATATTTCCTTTCCACCCTGCTATTCAGTTCCTAGTTGGAAGAAGAGCTCTTTTTTTTTCCCCCAGTCCCACTGCAAACCAATTGCACATGTGTTCCAGAGGTGTTGCTCTTGGGAGTGGGAAGAGCCTGACTTGCATGGAGGGCAGCTTGCAGCACACCAAAAACGGGTAAGGGGAGCTATGCTTTACTCAGTCCTACAATAATCTGCCCCTAGCTGATAGTTTGGGAGACAGAATTTGAAAGTTTTGGCTTAGCTAAGGCAGGGTATAGTGCTGCGTGTCTAGCAAGCAAAGAGCTCCCAGTGTTTGCTGGCTTTTGTTGAGAAAGGAAGGGTTTAACCTGCGGTAAGCAAGGCTAAATTTAGTGGTGGTTTGAATGCAAATGCAAAGTTTCTGTATGCTATATATGACACATGGATAGACCTTGAGGCTCTAATACTGCGCTGAATATAGGAACTAGGAGGGCTCTTTGGCACTGAATGCAATGGCTCTCTGCACAAACACCTGCCAAAAGAAAAAAACAGTAGTTTCCAAGCCCTTTACTGCTGCCTGGTACACGTGACTTGCTTATCTTTCTGGAACAAGTTGGCCATTTTGGCATGAGGCTATTGAGTATACGTGGAGTTCTTGGCAATAGCTGTTAGTCAATAGAGGGATCTAGGCTGCATAATGTACCATTTGATCAGGAACGCAGTTCTGAGTGCTGAGGAAGGTGAGAAGTGTTGAGAGTAGTCAGAAGTATTGGTCCTGGTGGCAGCGTGAAGAATAATGACTGTAGCTGTAATGAAAGCAGAACACTTCAAAAATACAGAGTTCGGTTTTGGTCCTGTCACCACCTGTTGTCGTAGGTGAGTGTGGCTTCTCTGACCGTGCCCCTAAGTTAAAGTAAAGTTCTTTTCAGAGCTCACCCCAGAAATGGTGGGTAAGAGCTGCCTTTTCACAACTCTCCGGTCCCCAGGACTTCTGTTGACGGACAGAATTTTCCACCACACGTTTGTCTTTCGTTTTTCTGAGACCCACCATTGTGACCCAATCTCTGTTTTTCTCCCTTCCCTCCATTCAGGTTTATGTGAGATGAAGAACAGCTACCAGCGTGCATCATTTGTTGGACGAGACATTTAAAAAGTGTCTTACACTGGCTGTGGTATGAATGCTACCTAAAGAATGGAGTTTTCTCATGTTTGCCCTGAGATCTATATAGTCATGCATACCCGTGTACTTAGAGAGACTATCAACTTAATTAAGCCTTTCATTTACCATTAAGTTCCCTTAAGAATTTGACATTGACTACGTTGTATAATTTAGTGGAGGTGGCTTTAGCTAATACAAATCTTCTAATTGGATATTGTCAGAGTAAGAATGATTTTCTTCAGATTTGTGTTTCAAACATGTTCAATTATGAAGTTGAAAGAATGTGAAAAAACATTAATTTTACTCTAACTTTGGTGTTTTTCAGTTTAGGCAATGACTCGTGTGTTTCACTTTTGAGTAATTTTCTGTTTAGTGACTCAGATTTTCATGTACTAGTTGAAGTGATTGAGCACTGAGGCATGCAAGGGTTTGTTTTGTTTGTCTTTTAAAGAACTTTTTTCTCATTTTCTTTCTCATTTTCTCATTCTCTTCCTCTTTCTTTCTAAATTTTATTGAGGTTTTAGTTTTAAAGGGATGAAATACCCCATGTGCTTTAAGAGCTAATTCTGACAAATCAATGTAGAGAGACCTTTTTGTTTTTTTGATTAGAATTCATGCAAGAAGTAAAGAGTTCCTGAGTAGTGTGATACTTCCAAAATGTGTGAGCTGTGAGTCTCCGTTTTTGAGTGTCATCTGAGTTGCCTAAACACGGGGAGGCATTACTAACCTAGCCATGTTTCTTTGAAACACTTTTTTAGAATAAACCCAAACCAATTTAGTATCTCACAAACACTTTGAAGTCAGGAGCTGGATAACTCTAAAACATTGATTCAAACAACTTGTGGTTGAGGATGTCTCTAAGTAATTCTATAGGTAGCAGCCCTGAGTAGTTAATGACATGGGTTCTCTGAAGAGTTAAAATGCATCCCAGAACGTGCAGTGGGAAGTGGTTATTTAAAATGCTGCAGTACTGAAGCATCTTTTTAAAATTCTGTGGACATGAACATACTGTGCATTAGCATGGAAGTGTAATCAACAGGAGAAAACTACTCTGATAAAGCAGAATTCAAGTGCATCATTTGAGATCTCATGTTTTGTGCTGGAACTTTTTTTTTCCTCATTAAAACTAAAATTCTGTGTTTTCTTGCGTGTGAAACTGCAGTACTGCGGTGAAGTCTCAGTTCATTCTGACTGCAGCAGTTTCTTTTCTTTGAAGAAATTGTTCAAATGGTATATTTCCAAAATTGCTGACCTATAGCCTCCCTCCAATTTCACACATCAGTTTAAATTGAAGAATTAAAGCAAGTAAGCCCAAACAGGTCATGGCACACAGTAGCAAGTGTTTGCTTTAACAACACATGTACTGTCCCTTTGATTTGCAGTAGTCATGGCAGAATATTTTTGTCTTCAATTGAATGTTGGGGTATTTTGTCTTAAATGGGATGTCAGCATTTGCCTACTGAATGATATGCATGACATTATTATAGTGATTTTTGATGCTGCTGCTTTATCTATGTCCTGTTCTTTAGGGAAATCAGATTGTTGACAGCAAAATCTTGTTTGGATTCTAAATGTTTATTGATAGAGACATCTGAATTTACTCAATTACAGACAAACACATCAACTTTGCCCATTTCAGACGTGTTGGAAATGAGAAATAACCCAGCTTTGTCTGGGGGACTCTTGCAGGCTCCTCTGATTCTTTATGGTGACATCTGTTTGACATCCCACTTGGTTTTCCATTGTATTAATATTTGCACATTAGGTCCTGTACTTATCCTCAAATGGCTGATTTCAATACTTTTGTTTCTGGTTCTTTTTTGGAAATGGTAGGGGACAAAAAAAAAAGACTCAAACAGATTGCTTGTTTTCATTTGCTTTCTCCCTGATAGTTTCTGCAATTTCTTTTCTGATTTTGTTATCTCTGTGATGTATGTTGATGTTTCATTGTAGGCAGATCAGACAACCAGTCTCCTTGGTCTATTTTCTTTGGTTTATAAGCATTAGGAGCTACGAGCTAGGTCTTGAGCAAAAATCTACTGAAAAAATAGTGAGTACTAAAAATCTAAGTTGCATACAATCCATTAAATGCTACTAACATCCTTAAAACATATGCTTATGAAATCTGGGTGCGTTTGTACACCACACAAATACAGGTTCATACTTAAATTATAGTTTATCCTGGCAGTCACATCTTAAGCATTTCCTAATTGGCTCTAGAACATCTATAAAAAGAAAAGATTCATATAGATAAAGATGTCTAAGGAAAAAAAAAATTCTAATGTTGTCTCTTGGATAAAGCTAACATTTTTGATAACATAACAGATTTTCTGGAGACTCGTCAGGGGAAATACTCTGAATATTTTCCCTGACGGTGATACCAGGAGCTGCTATCAGAAGGATTATTTCTTTCAGAATTGCTGAGTACCAGTAGGTAGTGAAAAAAAGACTGATGCTTTCCCCCTGCTTTCCCCCTCCCCCCCCCTTTTTTTACCTTGAGACTAAACATGCTCTAGCCTAAATAGTGAAGGGTTGGGATTCCTGCTGATGGGTACCTTATAGGTTGGTACAATCATGCCCAAACAAACCAACTACCACCACCACCAACAAAAAGACTGGCTTACCTGCAGTATGTAAGCCAAGACACTTCATGGTATATTCCAAGATGCCTTCTTTCACAAAATGCTGGCCAAAAGAAAAAAAAAAAAAAAAAAAAAAGACCATGGGTTTACCACAGTAGGATGCACGTTAAACTATGTGGAGGTGGGCTGGGTGAGCTCAGTTGCACCATACGGTCCTCAAAGGTCCACATAGCTGTATCCCAAAAGTAACAGAACAGTATCAGAGCTGCCTTCATTATTATAACAGGATTTATTCTTTGTGTAGGTTTTACTGTCTACTTGGTGTGGACTAAAATCCTTTCTGGACTCTTCTGAACTAAAATGTAGTGTAGGTACAAATACAAGAGAAAAAATCGGGTATGAGCACGCAGAGTGGAAATCCATTCCCAAATCCAGAGAGCTGTGATGTTCTGGAGCCTCTGCTCAGCGTAGGGAGAGCAAACAGCCTGGCTGCTTCCAAGAGGAACCTCAGCTTGTTGATGAAAAGCTTTTGAGTTGTGAGGACTGTATCAATTCCCTGAGAGCACAGACATTGGGGGTGCTGTAGTCCCAGCTCACTTCCTTAGTCCTTGATAAATACTGCTCTAGTCCTTCCTCAGCTTTCTGTTATTCCACATTACCCATACACCGTTGGGTCGTTGTTTGTGCTTCCAGTGAGTATTGACTGGTTGGAGTTGTGGATGTCCTAGCAATAACATAAAAGCTTTTCACCAGAAACTCCTAGGGTTTCTAGGAGCCACACCATCCACTTCGCACTGGTATTGCTTGGGAACCCTAGGACCTGTGCTACATTCCCTACTTTGCAGGGGTTAGATCAGCTCTACTTTCATTTCCCAGTGTTGCTCATGCCCATCCACATCACTTTTGTGGACTACTGTGCTAATAACCAGACGCATCTGAGTGGAGGAAACATCTGTTCCAACTGCTTTTGCAAAACAGCATATGGAGAGAACAGGAATGGGCCTTCGGGGTGATCCAGCAGAGCCGAATCAGAAGGAAGTCACCCAGTCCCAGGGGCTACCATCATCTCTAAATCGTGCACGGGGGTGCCACCGTACTCTGCTTCACTGCAGTGCCCTTTTCAAGGATTGAATCATCCTCTGGTGAGTCAAATCTGATCCACAATTTTTGTCTTCTCCAATACTCCCTTCACAGCTGCTTGAACTTCTGCCAGCTGTCAGTATGCCATTCATCAAACTCCTCTCTCACAGCGTAAGTGCTGAACGCAAGCTCTCTGCAGCAGGGACACACGAGTCAGCTCAACCCCTCCAGTCCCATTCCTTCAGTAATTTCATATTTCAGTTCCACGTTTGTGTACCTGTAGACCAGCAGGCATCGTACCAACTTGTGCAGTTTGTCATAAAGCCCATAATGCAAAAACTTGGGCATTGGCTTTAAATTCAGTGTTCTCTTGACAGCTTATGTATCCCTTACCTGCTTTTCTCAGTGCACCCCCGCCCCTAAAAGCTTCCCGCTGCTATGAACTGAGGGCATCCTTAAAGGTTCCTCAGGGTGGGAGAAGTTCATTTCCCTTCCCTCCCTCCCCTTGATATTGCTACCAGTAGTAGTCCCCGTAAAATCCAAGCTATAAATCTCAAATTTCAAAAGTTACAACAACACCAGACTGCGTAATTGTTTTCAGCTTTTGATATTCTGCTTCCAGAGTAACAAAATCCCCCTGCTGTCTGCATCCTCTGCCAGTCTGCACTCCCCCAACTCACAGTGGTAGGCGTGCAAGAGAACACCATCTCTGCAAGTGTGTACACACGATTTAAAAGTGTAATCATGTCATGGTTAACGCGGATAGCTAGAAGTTACTAGGCTAAGCGTTAACATGCTCACCTCCCCTTGCAACAGACTGTATGAGACCTCAATACCCAGCGTCACCAGACTGACCTCTGACTCTTTTTTTTGGTCTAGTGGCTTGTAACTTTTTATTGGTGTTATCTTTCCGAACCTCATCACAACCACCCGAACAGCAGGAACTGCAGCATGATAGTAGTAGGCAGTCGAGTAAATAGTCACGTTAATGCAGTCGTTTGGAGCCCTGAGAGAAGTTGAATTGGCCAGGTGGTAGAAATCGACATTTGGGCAGCAGAGCCTCTCTCTAGGCTCTCTTGACCTTTGTGATCAGGGATTTAGTCCAGCTGCCTCTACAGGTCCCTCATGCCATTTCCAGGGCTTTATGGCCTTCAGCTACTGCCTCCTTCAGGGCAGCACCAGTATCCTCTAAGTTTCCCAAACCATACCTCTCTGCTTACGTGGATGTCTTGCATACCGTGGGGTTCCTCATGTGACATCAGATGCTTGTGTGTGCAATGGAATCAAGCCCTGGGTTTCCACTGCCCACCTGAGAAACTCCTGGGTGTCCCAGATACCTGGATGGGGTTGGCAGACATCTGATAACTAAATATATCTTGGTTAATGACATAGTAAGCTTTAATCATCCTTAATACTGGTTGTAAAACACTTTTTGAGGAGCTTTTAATTAAGCACCTCCTTGTAAATCCTTTACTGGCATTGCTGAGTCAGTAGTGGCTGTATGCAAGTGCTTGTGTGCGGGCAGGTACGTGCAAGGAGTTCATGTTAGAGTCCCAAGGAGCATTTCTGGAATGGATGGGATAGAAGGACTGCTTGATGGCAGTCCACCAGAGGTAATCCTGATTGTTTGCTTTCTGGCTGCTTTGTAAATACAGATGTTCCCTTCCCAGAAGGAGGCTTATGGGAGTCACTTAAAGCGAAGAGGCATGGGGAGCAATTCGCATAATGAACACGTGGCGAAAAGGTAAAGTAACTCTCTGCTTGTGCTTGGGCCTGAAGAGGGGAGATCACGAAAAACTGGCTGTGTGGAAGGAGTCAAGAGCTGTGCCTGTCATTTTGTCCCTTAGCAGTGGCATAGGAACAAAATAATTTTAGATTGGAGCAGTTCACATCTACTTGCCAGCTATCCATCTCTCTCTGCAATTTGCAGGGTAGAGAATATGTACCAGAGAAAATTTCTGCCATTACCTGTACTTACTGAAGCTAATAGGTAGATTGGTGAAGCCAGGAGTCGTGCACAGCTGTCGCTCGGCAGCTTTAGCTTTGACATACGCCTTTGCAGGTTTATTTTGAACCAGGAAACAATCTGAACTATTACAACTATGGTGCCAGTGGGGAGCGAGTGAAGTGACAGGTGTGATACATCTCGTTCTTCAGGGGAACAAAAAGGTGATAACGCAATCAGCGTGCCTTTATTTTGATGTCTCATCTTCATTTTGATGTCTCTGGCTACTGTAAGATACTCCACAAACTCGTCACTGATGATCCTCATCAGGCATTTGCTTGCCTGAGTGCTTACAGTGATCTGGTAAATTCTCCCCTCATTCTCTTTGTTCCGTTTCTGAAATAACGCTAATTAAAAATCAGTTGGCAAAGCCACCAGTTTTGTGAGATAGTTGTTTTAGAACTAGGCTCGATGAAAAGGCAGTAATTGCTTTCCTGAGAAGTTCAGTGCATCTGTGCAATTATTACAGGGCACTTTGTTACACAACGCTACGCTCGTTTTATCAGCGAGGAGGAGGTGCGCTGGTATCCCGATTTACCAGGTCCGAATTCACGGAAAGGATTTAAAAGCTAAGGCTGTATTAGTCATCAAGGAGCACAATGATGATTTCTCCTCCAAGTGAGTCATAGCAGTTCCCACTGTTAAGGCAGACACAGGAATATTATATTCCTTAATTCCATTAGCGTTTGATTCTGCAGCCAACTGTCTGCATCGAAGGGGTAGCATTATAAATGAAGCAAACTAGTCTACATTTTGAGAGTTTGTGAAAGAAGGGTATGAATGCTTCACACAAAGGACTATTGTATTTTCCTCTGTGATCTCAGGCTTTCTTTAGAAGAAATGATTTGTAGCTGAATTTATGAGGTAGCATACAAAGCATATAAAAACCACTACGAACTGGCTTTAAACATTCAATTAATGTGCAGTATACGCCTTTGAAATATAGCTTACCTCACACAGTTACATGGCCTGCACAGATAAATGAATAATAGTTTAATGCCATATTAGCCAGTTAATTCCCTAAGATCTACAAGAAACTACAACAGAGAGAGACATCAGGAGTAACTCACACTTCTTGGAGTCCATCTTCCCCCAACTCCGCATGCAGAACTTTGTGATCCCCATCCCAAGTTGCTGAACTCTCTTCTTGGCCCTTTAACGTTAGTTCAGCAGGAGTCCTACTGTTAAAAATAAGTTAAATGTTTGTAATTCTTCTAAACTGAAGGGAAATGCATTTGTATCAGATATAGGGAGCTATATATATCATATACAGCTATGCATACATGTGAAAATACCTAACTATAGCATTAGGCTGCCTAAGCCTCCTTTGTATAATGCAAAGAACCCCGGTTCCATTAACTTTTAACGTGTTACTCACTGGATCAACATCTAACATCTGTTTCTGGTCGGATTAACTGAGCTATAGATGTTCCTGGTTCTCTCCACTGTCCATTCAACGAGCCTCTGGTAGTCTCAGAAATGTTCATCCATCATCTGCAGTTATCCAGGTTGATTCTGCCCACATTTACGCTCTTTCTTTCAGGGTAAGAATGGGTGCATTTGAAGAACTATGCCTTTTATCATGTGTTATGATTGTCGTTAATGCTGTAGCATCTTTTGCAACAGAAGGGTATGTTCCTTTGCTCTGAAGCTAGGTGGTCATCTCAGCATCTTTCTTCCAAAAGAAAAACAGTTCAGTACTTCACAGCTGCAGAAAAGTACTTAGAAACATGAGCAAAAACATTTTTCTTAGAAACTAGAAATTAAATACATCTTAGAAATCAGTGGTGGTTCTTTTGTCAAACTGAGGGCGTGCCTCACTGTAAGGATTTACTGAAGCCAAGCAGTTTTTAATATATTGACTTGTCAAAGCTGATTATTCTAGCTGTTCTGCAACCAGTTTGGTGAGGGTTGTATAAAATCTGTCTGCAAGGATTTAGCGCAGTATTAAATATGGAAATATTTGTCGTAGCAGTGGTCAGGCAAACTTTCAGTTTCCATACGCTTCAGCTGAGCATGTTTAATTTTTCACCAAGTTAGATCATCTGACAGGATATACAAGCTGCCTTATGCGAAGTGCTGTTAGCGCGTGGGATTCGACTGCAGTTTTGCTACTATATTTGGCGTTTTGTTTTAAGAAAAAATGTTCCAGAACAAAATGGCCCCTCCAAGCAAAAGCCTAAACAAAAGGGAGGTGAAAACACAAACCCAAACCGAGACAGGGCATTGGTGGTCACATGAAGGAAGAGGAGGGAAGCTGACTCTGCGTTGGCAACACTGAGTGTGCCAGAGCCCTGCACTGCTTGCTCCCAGTCTGTCACCAGCAGCTGGGGAGCTAAGCCCCAGATTTCTGTCCGTGCACTGAGTTACAACACCGCCTCGCAGGTATCGGGGATTTCAAAACCGTGGCACCTGGCAGCATTCATTGTCTGTCATTCCAGACTGCTAGCTGTGTAATACGTCTGGAAATAAAAGCAGTCTCCTGCTGCTGGCTCTGTGGGATTTCACGTGATTGCCCAGCGCCAGAACAGGCCGTGATGTCACTTAATTAAATGGAAAAAACATACAACCCGTCAGTGAATTTCTGTTACTTCACGTTTGTCTATTCAGCTTATTTTCAATAGTGTTTAGCTGCTATGTAGTCACAGTTTCTGTGTTTCTATTTTTGGCTAAAAAACCCTGTTTCATGTTAGCTACAGGTGCTTCCTTTTCGAAATATATGAAATTACATCGCTGCCAGATTCAAAACCAGAGCCCAAAAACCAGAGCCCAGGAGAGAAAGCTGAACTCTGTATTGCTCTGGTATATATCTCTATAATCTCTATATATTGCTCTAGGATGTATCACTCCTCAATTGATGCCAGTATTCACATTATTGTGCCATTATTTGAAATACTTCCTATCAAAGTAGATCCCGAATTCTTTTTACATAGAATTCCAGATTTCTGAGTGCAAAATACTACTGCTGCTTTGAGGCAGGGCAAGATTTAGTCCCAGAGAGTCCCAGAGTCCCTGCTGCACAGCAAGGTGGCTCGGACAAGTGAGGAAAGACGGGATGTAACAGCTAGAAATGATCAAAATGGTTCCCAAACGTGACACCCAGGGCATTCAGCTCACTGTCTCAGGAAGTTGTGTCAGCTGTTGTTAATGAGAAAAGCTGAGATGTCACCGAGACTTGTTGGCTGTTAAATATCCCATGGGGTGCTTTTGGAGTACAAGGGAATCCCAAAGCCATTCCTTCCCTTCTGCTACACGTCATTTACTCGTTATTTGTAGAGTTTTCCCCTGTAAAAAGGAAGTTCACATTTCCCTTTTGAAAATGCACTTACTCAGTAAGATGGAGTCAGGTTACTTTTTTTTTAATTTTTTGCTCTTACCACAATGTCACTGCACAATAGAACAGGAAAGGGAAGTGTAACACCTTATTTTGCAATGCTGAGAACATGAGGAGGTGTGCAACTGTGTATTATTCTCTGCATCATCTGTATGCAACTTTTTTTTTTGTTTACAACTGCTTTTTGTTGCTGTTCAAGCAAAGAAGGAAATGGGAAAAGAGAACTAAGACATCAAAATGCACCAAAAATTAGTTTCACTGTGGAAGAAAGGGATATAAAAGTGGCCTAGACAAAATTAAGGAGAATTTCTGAACTAGAAACAAGGGTGTCAAGCTCATGTTGTTGAAGACAAGCATGTAAGAGCTCAGACATGTTTCTTCATTCGCAGTGAATTAAAGTGAAACTGAGACTGCTGAGAACACGAACTCTTTAATTTGGTATGCATTTCCTTAGCTGTAAGTTGTTACAAGTGCTATCCCAAGTGGATTGTGGCTGTTACCAGGCAGCAGAGACCAAAATTGTAGATGCAAACAAAAATTCCTCTGGCCTCATGACATGGGAAGGGGGATCTGCCCATCAGGCCGAGCTTTGCTTTGGCTGGTAATTCTTGCCTAAACTAATTGGTGCGTGGCACTATTTTAGCCTTGTGTGATAAGCAAGAAAACGTGGTGCTAGTAAATCTTACAGCTAAATCTTTTTGGATGAGGCGTCGGTGGGGCCTGTGAGGGCTGGAAGTGTTTTTTAAACCACTCTGCTCTTGCTATGAGGTCCTTGGGCTCCTTACAGCCATTAGGGTCGGAGGAGACCTCCGAGATCCCCTGCTCCACCACCACTGTCACCCACTGACCGTGTCCCCAAGCACCACGTCCAGCCTCTCCTTCAACACCCCTGTGCCACCTCAGGGATGCCACCTCCCTCTCCCTTCCTTCCAGAGGAATAAAAACAAAAACAAAACAAACAAAACAAAACAAACACCAGGCGCTATGGCCGCAGCCCGGGGGCGGTGCTGCTGAGGCAGGTGCCTCCCTCCGCGGCCACGGCGGGGCCGCTGCCACGTCAGGGGAGTTTCCCGGGGCCGGGCTCTGCCTTCCTCCTCCTCCTCCTCCTCCTCCTCCCGTCCCTCCTTCTCCTCCTCCTCCTCCTCCTCCTCGTCGCTCGTCCCCCGCTGCCGGCGCCGCGCTGCCCGCCGCCATGGAGGGCCGCTACAACCTCAAGAACCCCGGTAAGGCCGCGGGCAGCGCAGCAGGGACCGCCCGAAGGGCTTGGGGGGGAGCTGGGGCCGTGCCGCAGCCGCCTCCTCTCCTTTATCTCCTCTCCTTTATCTCCTCTCCCGGCTCGGCTCGGCTCGGCTCGGCTCGGCCCAGCAGCCCGGTGCTGTGGGGCCGGGCTCTGCCCGTGCTCCCCCTGCCCGCTGCAGGTGCTGGCGGCTCCGTCCCGCAGCCCTGCCGCCGCGCTGCGAGGCGGGGAGGGGCTCGGCCGGTGTCAATGGCAGGCTTGCTGGCACAGCAAGCTCCCGGGTGGCCGACCTGTTGCTAAAGTGTGTCTTCTGCCCCCTCCCTCTTCCTCTTCTTCTTCCTCCTCCTCTTCCTCCTCGTCCTCACGCCCAGGTTGCATAACCGGGCGATGGGGAGCGCAGAGCGAGCGGTGCTCTCCTCGCGTGTATCCAGCACCGCACTGTGCCCAGGGGAAGGCTCGGTGCCCCCTTCCCTGCCTCCCACATGCTGGACATGTTGGCTGTGGGAGCTGCCAAGGCCACCCAAACACCCTCACCACCCCTGGTGTGCCACGTCACTGGGGACGGTGGCGGTGACCTGCACGGTGTGCCCATGGGAGCTGGGCACAACCCACGCGTGGGTTCCTTGGGGAGAGTTTTTCCTCTCCGCTGGTACCAGCTCCTCTGGTTTTCAAGGCAAAAATCCCTTTGCTGAAATCGATTTTTGCCACCTGTGCAGCTCCACAGCAAACAAACCTCGCTTGGGACAGGCAAATGATTCATACAGTGGGTCAATACCACCTACCCGAGTCAGATGTGCTCTGTGGCATATGGACGGCGAAGGTCTACATGAAGTCTATACAAAGTTTGTTTTGTAAAACACTTCAATATTCACTTAATATGTTGAAGTCTTTCATTAAAAATACAGGAAAAAGGTATTCAGTACCCAAAAGATTCAGAATAAATCTTGTTTCTTCAACTGTTATTGGCCTTTAAAATGAGTTGACTGGGTTGTACACAGCCATTGCCCTTAGCCTACCACTTCTTTTTGCTAACCAGGTATACACGCGTATGCAGTTACTTAATCTTTCTATCTGTTTTACAGATTTGTTATGGTTAAATGTGCATTCTAATATCCATTTTTATACTTGCCCATTCAACCGAAGGCTGAAGATAGAAATGTAGAATGCCCTAATCTTACGGTGGCTTTAATTAATGTAAACATACTGAAATACTTAATAACAAATCCACCCTGTTTACCATTTCAAACAGTGACAGAAAGTAACTGCTCTGTACCTGCAGGAGAGGCTTTGCCTGTTGAAATCTTCTGGACTTGAGCAAACTCTGATTCCAGATGGTGACTTCTGCCTGCTCAGTAGTTCTAAAGAGAGCAAATACCACCTACAATGTTTAGCATTTAGTATGGTACTTTAACAATTATGGTAGTTTTTTAAAAAAATGAGTACAATTAGAGAAAAGCAGTTTAAATAGGAAAACTTTGTTAGCAGAAACCTGTGCTTTTGTCAATCTTCTGAAGCCAGATTCTGCTGTAAAGCTGTGACACGAGCCGAAGTTCGTCAGTGATGATAACGTGGCTGCGTGGGCACCTCTTCTGCGAGTAGGTGTGCTAGACTGGGTTTGTGAACAAATATGCTTCCAGATAGACTACATTAAGAGCACCATTGCTACGCAGCTTTGTCCTGCTGCTGGCTGCTGCTAGGCCATATATTCATCTCCTTCCTTATCAGGGTTTCTCCAGTAGATGTTAGCTCATCCCAGCGCATCTACAAGATGGTGTCTCTCCACGAGGAGGCGAATCAAGTTGTTCCCCACCTGCTGCCTCTCTGCCGAGTGCTGTGGGTGCTCTGGCACTTCTGCCTTATCCAGAGTCGTGTGGTGTGACCACTGAGGGTCTGGGTTTGGGGTGCTGGCCTTCTCTCAGGTCACCCTGTTAGGGCAAGGGGGTACAGAGACATTCACCTGAAACTCTCTCCTCTCACCATTAATTTTTGGAAGAGGAAGAATTTCACACGCTGTGCTTCAGGGGTCTTTGTATTGCTTCAGCAAGGCAAAGCTTTTTAAGGTTTTGCTTCATATTTTTATTTCTATTCTTGGCACTTCTAAAAGGGCAAGCTGTTTTCTGTCTTTAGGATTCCGCAATGGATTAGTCAATGTATACGGCCTGCTACCGTATGGCCGATAAACCCCTCCCAGCAGTATTAAAGCTCGGCTGACTACAGCACAGACTTCATCCTCGCCATGCTTCAGGAACAGCCCTGTTGCTGAAATTTGTAAGACACCTACTTGGAATAAGTGCTTGGCTTTTTCAAACACTGTGACCCTCAGGCTGCCACGAGGCAGACCCCAAATCTTGTAGTCATGCTTTTGTAGCAACAGGATTCCTCGGCCTCCTCTTTCGCGTGGGATGTTACCAGGCGTCTTAGCAGGTATTAGCACTGAGATGTGTGAGGAATTATGAACAGCTACTCACACAGAGCCTACAAAGAACAGAGATATTTTGTTTTCAGTGTGTTTTTATTTGTTTTTAGCAGACTTCTTTATCTCAAGGCTGCCTGGTGGGGCTGCGGAGAGCAAATGGAGCGTACGTACGTCCTGCGTTTGCCCAGGGACAGTGCCTGTGCATCCCGGGCATGCAGGGAACACAGCATGCCTAGATTGTGATCCTCTTAGCCATCATCTGTATTGTGCTTGCTGCAGGGTAAATAAATGCTTTTCCTATGAACTGTACTTTTCTCTCCAGTCTATATTTTTGACAAGTAAGGAGTATTCCCCGCCGCCAAGCATGCATCAGTTCTTTGTGCATAACAACCAGTCAATAGGAAATAGCCGGTGGGTGCTGTGCTGCTAAGCGTCTTCTGTGAATGAAATAAAGATTGATTTTTAGAAAAATAGAAGGTTTAATGGACATTAAAATTTGATTAAACTTGAAGACGTTGTTTGATCTTAGTGCGTTCAACCAGCACTTTAAATTTGATAGACTTTATCCTGTTCTGTGTTAAGTTGACTGAACAGTTTTGAAATGTAGCTGCAGAAAAAGTGCTGTACCAGGGAGACGAAGAAAAAAGGTCCGTCCTTCCTGAGGATGAGAGCAAGAAGAGAATAGTTTAGTCAAAAGTACTCCTTTTTCTTTCCTTTTAAATACTTTGAATGAGTGCAGGAACCTTGTGGGCCTTGGGAAGGATGTATCCGAGGGCCTGAAGACGTACAGCAAGCCGGCTGGCTTCTTGGCAAATGGTGTTTCTTGGCAAGTGGTGCATCCGTTTGTTATTGTAGCAAAAGTTAAAGCAGCTGTCAAACTGGGTTTTAAAATAAAAGCAGTTTGGGAACCTGTGTCTCCTCCAGACAATTGTTATAGTTCTGCAATTGCACATTTCAGTTTTCTGATACCTTTCTGTATTATCTCAAAAGATCAGCATGAAATGGGAACTTCTCTAACAGAGAACGTAGCAAAAGCAGCACGTGATGCAAGCAGACCTGATTGTCTCTGTTTGCTTTTATTTAGACAGAGGAGCGTGACTTCTGTAATACAGAGTTAGAGACATTGTTTTCTGTAGATTAAGATGTTTAGAGTAATGTTGAAACTGTAGTAGGCTTCAGTTAGAGATGACTGTGAAACGGTGATGCAGTTTGCTTGAGACCAGCTTTTTAATTTCTTCTTCATTTTGCCCATTCCTCCATCGCTGGAGGATGAAGGTTTGATACGGTGGTCACTGGTGCCATGAGAAGAGTTGTTAGCGTTATGGGTTGCTTGTGTTGTTGGCTTTCTAATTTTAGAAGACTCAAAATCTGGAAATCCTTGTATGTAAATGAGCTTTGGGCTGATGCAAGGGCCTCCTGTTGTTGAGTTTTCAGAGTCCGCTGTCCCATCATAGACTGAGGCAGCAGGAAATTTTGGAGAATCGTTGAAGAGCATTAAAGAAACAGAATACGTAGTATATTCTCCTCATCTGTGGTTTAAGGACTTGGCCACCTCTTTTCCAGGAATTTGATTTTTGGATGATGTGAGAAAAGCACACGTGTCCCTGTCACAAAGAAGTTCCACGTAGCTTAGTGTTTAGGAAACTTTAAATGTGGTCTTGATTAAAGGCTATGTGCCTATATAAACTGCTATGCAAATTTTACGTGTAAAGTGGTGTTTTTGTGAAATGACATACAAAAATATTTACAGGAGCTCAAAAACCTAGTTGAAGACAGATGTGAACTCAGAAGGGATAAGAAAAACGGGAGGGAAATGAATAGGGACAAAGAATGTAGAGGTGGAGGACAAAAGTGTAAGTAATGTGCAGTTTTATTTCTAGAGTAGATGCTGTTTGGCACTATTCTGCACAAGGAGAATAATTTTTATTTCAGGGTACTCTGTCTCCTGTGCCTTTTTCCCCTTTTATTGTATTTTAATTCACTATGATCACATATCATTCGCATATTTTAAGCTGTAGAGGAAAATGATGTCTGTAAAGGAGCAGGTAGCACGCAGTTACCTGGTGACACTGTGCAGGTAGCTGGCGGGAACCTGTTGCTGTCCCCTTTTTTATAGTTGTAATAAGCCAGCTTCTAGAGAGTACAAACATTAAAAACTATGATTAAAAGTGTGATTGTCCATATTAAACAGCTGTCATAGAAGTATTTCATATCTATCTGGCCTGGAAAGCTGGATATAAGAGTCAAATATGACTCTTTGCTTTAAATGCTTTCTTGGTGCTTGTTTATTGACCACACCACTCAGTGATCTTTTATTTTTGTAGCTTAAAATGTGAAAGCTCATTGAGTGTTGTTGTCTTACAAGAAATCCTGTGTGCTTAACAAACACACACAAATTTGGATCGTGCAGTAAAAAATGAGCCAGGATGAGTGTTTGTGCGGTGGAACCGCCAACTGACCTCACTGATATTTTTCCATTTAGCTGAAATTCAACTTGCCTTTAGCAACTTGGCTTCTCTTTTCCCTACAAATACAGAATGGTCCCTGGCCATGGGACAGGGTGACGCAGGGGGGAAAAGCAGCTGGTTTTCAAAGGACTTTCCCAAAACGTCATCCATCTAAAGTTCATCGAGCAATTTTGTTGAAATACGCTCTTTCGTTCTGCTAATGCTATTTTCTTTTATTATTTTCTAATGGTGTTTTTCTCCTTGTAGGTAGTGGTGGTGTTAATAGACACACAGGAATGAAAATGGCCTGCGTTTTGCTTACAGGTTAAGTGGGCTCTAGGTAGTAGTTCTAAAACCCTTCATCCCAGAGATATTTTATGGGACTTTTATTAATACAATTATTTGGAAAACTTGGATTTGATAAGTAAATTGCACCTTGCCTATCTTGGTCAGCAGAGCCGTTGAAAACCAAAGATTGCTTTTCCTGTATTTCTCCTGCATAGACCTTTAAATCTCATTAAAAATTGAAAAAATATTTATAGCTGCCGTAAGACAAAAACAAAACAGAAAAAGCAGGCAGCACTTCCTGAAGCAGTAGAAGCTATTAGATTGTTTTATTTCTCCTTTTCCAGATCAGGTAAGTCAACTTGAAAGACTGAGCTCCCTAGCTTTATGCCAGCTATTTTTGGGTCCTTGCTTTATTTGTCTCTGTACATTTTTTTCTTCCCCAAACAGAAGAACTGAAAATGGGTAGAATTAACTGGTTCCTATCCATTGGAGGAAGATATTGTCACGTGTGAGCCTGATCACAAACACAGACTTGTTTCACTGACAATCCAAGTGTTAGAGGCAGTTGGAACTGGATTGCTTGGATCACGTTTTCAGGACTTTCAGTGAGGAAAAGTGTGCCGACTTTGTTATGTGAAAATACAACTTTTTGCACTGTTATGTATTATTTCCATTAGTATCACACAGTGATCTTGATCAACTCAATTTGATTGCCCTACATAGCCTTCATTGATAATGTAAAAATGAGCTAAAATTCCACCTCGTTAGATACAGAGCTTTGTTAGTAGGCTGCTGAAAGGCTAGATGGAATTGCTTTATTTTAAGGCTGTGTTTTCACAATAGCAGTAGAATATTACACCTTATTTTTACAAATCTAAGATGAACACCACAGATGTTCAAATCCCATCCTTTCTTTAAGCAGTAATATTTACGTTTAGGAAGGCTGATCATTTGATTATTTTTTTTTTTGTACAGAGTATTTTTTTGGACTATCAGGTGCCGACTATTCTAAATGGGCAAAACATCAGGAGTACGTGAATGTGACTTCAGGGCAGGTTCAGGAGAAGCTGTTGTATGGAAGAGGAGTTGTGGGATGGCTTAAACATCCCAGGAAGCAGGATTTGACCAGGACACATCTTTTGACAGAAATAAATCTGCAAGTCATCAAGTTGTACATGTGTACATCACATAAATTCTGCTTGTTAACTGTGTTATCCCCCCCAAAAAAAACAACTGAGGCTTTTTGACTTGATGACAGTTTGCAATTTTTATTTTGAATGGGGCCAAAATGTTCTCATTTTTCAGAATTGCCACTGCCAAACTTTTCCTTGGATGACTCAGTGTGATTTCAAGTGGGCTGAAATGCCGCGTTTTGCATCACAATTCTTTTTAATGAAGCCTGGATGAGTGTCGGGTACTTGTTGCAGGCAGACTTTTGGAAATGATTTTCATTTTTTCCACTGCGGTTTCCATTAGCCAAAGGAGGGGCTGTGTTTGTGAATACAGCAACTTGTATTTAACGAATTTAGTGGGTTTGAAAAGCATTATGTTCCATGTTTTCAGGGTGAATCCTTGGTGATCAAGCCAGATCTGGGCAACTTGCGTTGACATTTCTCAACCACGTGGAAATCCACGTGCTGCTTTTTCGTAAGGCGTGTTCAGGTTGTTTAATATTGAAAACTTCATACGAGCATAGTATCTCTATGGTGTACAAAAGCTAAATGATGTATTTTGGAGTATTTCATGTTCAAAGAGTAGAGCAGTATTTCAGGTTCTTTCCTATATATTCTACACAGGCTCATTAAAACAGAATAGCTGTAGCCTGGCTTCTGTTTTCAAAACAAACAAACCAAGCCGTGCTTTAAACTGCTTATGGTTTTGAATCCTGCCTACCAGCAGCCCAGCTGCTTGCAGTCCACACCTGGCAGCCGTCTTGGTCTTCTGATGGTTTTTCTTGATGGGATTTGCTCCGTCTCCCACTTTTCTTTCTTCGGCTTGTGAAGGGAAGTATCCAGACAGACCTTTTCTTGTCTAGGCTGACTTTTTCCTTATTCCTCACTAATGGACTGGTAAACCTCATTGCAGATGAAGGAGCCAAGTTGTTCTTGGTGGATCCCAGCCACTGCTGCCTGCGGCGGGACCTGGTGGGTTCTGCAGGGCTTTATCGACACCTCCTGGAGGCAGTGGCAGGAGGAGGAAGGCTGGCAGCAGCCAGTTCCCATGTAGTCTGCTTGCTTTTTTGGGCTGTAAGAAGTGAAGTTTTCAAACTTTATGCTGTTGTTTATACCTGTCAGCTAGTGCAAATAAATAAAAGGACTCTTGACAGTAAATTGAAATTCAGATTACTCTGTGGGAAGGTTAGAGTAGCTTCACTCATAGCATCAGGAAGGTGAGTAAATCCATCCATCTTTGTAAATCAGAGTTATGGTTCATTCACAGTGTTACCAAACACTGTTGTTAAAAGGGACTTTGGGCAGTCTTTCTCCTTCTTTGTATTTAGGTAATTACACAAGTGAGAGGGACATCCATGGTTTGAATTGAACATGGGTGATGGAGTAAGGGTTCCTGCTCCCATTATAGCTTCTTAAAGAGGTGACAGATATTTTCATTTCTTTTTTCAGTAATTAGGGGATAGTAAGGACATTCTACCTAACCTCATTCATGGGGTGACATCCTGCATTTTCTTGTCTGTGATGGCTGTGTTTAATTTGCTTTCTGATTTGGCTGAGTTTATTAGGAGTTAATGCACGATGCTCATGAGAGTGCCTGGCTGGAGAAGTGATGGGACGAAACTTAGTGAAGGGAAAAGAAGAAGGTGATACAGAAAATACAGATGATGATGCTGGTTCTGAAGTGGAAGGCTGGAAAGGGTAGCTGAAGACTAGCCTGAATTTAGGACAGAAAAATACCTTTGTGTCCTACCTCAGTAGCAGGTTCAAATTACAAAGACCTGAGTCAGTTTTTTTCTAGCTGGGCATGTGCATTATCAAATGTAGTATAAAACCACATCTCCTTCTGCTACTGATGTGATGGTTTTTCTCAAGTCTTACTGTCACCCTTTTTGGATTAATTAAGGGACTAGTCATGTAACAGTCAACGAGAAGTGTCAGGAAAAAGCTTGTTATGATGAAATATTAGGTTTGGTGGTCGTGTACATCTTCTGTTTAAATACTGAAACTCTGTCAATGACATTTGGTTTTCCTTCAGTCTTTGGTGCAATTACTAACACAATGCTGCTTTAGCCACAGTGTTAAGGGTTTCTTTTGAGAAACTTGGAGACCACGCAGCATATTTTTCATAACTCTGTGCTACATGACTCATTTAAAAGATTTATTCGGTGTGAGTAATCGATAATGTGTCTCGGATTATTAACTCCAGTGAAGAAGCTGCGGTGAGTTGAAAAAACTTAGCTGAAGGGAGCTCTTCAGGAAATGTTTACGCATTTTTGTGTGCAGTATGCATTAATTTTCTTCTGTCTTTTCATGTTCTGTGCTTTCTCTTTTTCAGCCGTCAAACGTTTGATGAAGGAGGCTGCAGAACTGAAGGATCCTACAGATCATTATCATGCACAGCCCTTGGAGGTTTGTCTCTCCATGTGTTTACAGGCGCTTGTAATGAGGCAGTGTGGTGTATGCTATATGTTCTCTGTATGCATATGTATTTAAAATCTGACATTTGGATACATGCTTGAAGCTGGTAGCATGTTTCTAGGTGCTATAAAATATATGTTGTTATTGACTAGCTTTTGTTATTATTGACTAGTTTTGGGCTGTAACTTGTTTTCTACTTTCTGAGGTGAAACTTAATGTCTAGTTCATGCTATTGTAATTTAAATGAAAGTCTTATTTTTGGGGGTTAGAACAGTGACTTACTGGGAAGAGAATAGTGACAGATGATGGGAAATGCTGGAAATGTCGACATTTCCCTTCCATCCTTGAAAAAGTTACAGCTAGATGGGCAGTCACAGCCATGTGATACCAATGTTCAGCATTAGTTATGAGATCTCATTCACCAGCAGCAAGCTTCGTTGGACTCGTGGTAACAGTAGGAGTTGTTCTGTTCGTAAATATTCAGGGAGTTGTGAGCATCCCAAGATCCGATGCACAAAACCAAACACAGAACGCCCAAGAAATAATACTTGAGGAAAAGTTATTTACATGCCCAACAAAAGTGTTCCAAACTCTGCCTGTTGCAGTAAGGCAAGGTAGATGTTACAAAAGTCTTTGTGGAGAAACAAATGAGGATGGAAGTTCTCTGGGACCTGAGTTGCCTTGGGCACAGAAGGGACCTTGACAGGGGAGGCTGGGAGTGGGCCTCTTCTCAGTTCTGTAGAAACTACTATTCAATGGGGCAAAGACCAAGTTTTCCTTCATTTGTCTTGGAATATTCCATCTATCAGGGAGTAAAACTCTTGTCATAACTGGTGCAAGTAGTATGAAGACCTTGAATAATGAATTTGAATTTACCAACAAAGCTCTTTTGTAAGAAAACTACCAGGAAGCTAAACCATTTATCCTTTTAGGCAAAATCTTTGTATACTGTTGGTTGTCTTACTCTCCATTTGATTCTATTTTCCTAAAACTCCCTCTTTGCTTCTTCTTTAGCCTGTCCTTGTTGCAAGAAAATGGTGATTAGATGTCTACTTCTTTGACATGTTTCTTTTTGTGGTCATTTTAGGATAATCTTTTTGAATGGCACTTTACTGTTAGAGGCCCTCCAGATTCAGATTTTGATGGAGGAATTTATCACGGGCGAATAGTATTACCACCTGAGTATCCCATGAAACCACCAAGCATTATTTTGCTGACGGTAAGAACGTTTACTAGTTTTCCTTTTTTTACGTTATTCATTGGTTTTACCTTGGGTATCAGAGAGAGGTTCCTGTACTTAAGGAATTTACTTATTTTTGTAAGAAAGAACTTACTTTTGTAAGAAAGGTGACATAGTACAGTTAATGCTGCCAATTTAATATTAGAAGTCTTTCAAGGTGTTCAAGAATTTAATACCAGAAGTCTTCCAAGACTTTGGTGTTCTGTCATTATATGAAAGTTGGCACCTAGTCTTCCCCAGTTGTAATCCCAATTGCTGATGTGGTTGTCGAAACTTTCTGTTGCCTGCGTGGGCCCTCTTGGTGTCTCTTGGCTTGTGTAAAGAAGACCTATGGTATCAGTGAAGGCCCATATTTCTGTCTAGTTTCACAGACCTATGGCTTTGCAGGCTCTCCAGATTTGTACAGATTAAAGGAGTAACAGGAAAGCCATTGTGTTGAATTGGGACATATGAGATATCAGTTAAGGGTCTCTTCATGCATGAATAGAGGCAAATGGCAAACTTCTGTGTTCAAAAAGCCAAATGCCATTTTTGTGAGGTTGGCAGTGATACAATTGTCAAGTATTGTTTGTATATAGACTTATTTGATGATCATTGTTATAACTTGTGCTTGATTTTTTTTTTTTTGTACATTTTATGATATCCTTATTCTTCCTTTAAAGGCCAATGGCAGGTTTGAAGTGGGGAAGAAAATTTGTTTAAGCATCTCAGGGCATCATCCTGAAACATGGCAGCCTTCATGGAGTAGTAAGTAATAAATTATTTGGAAAATGTTACCCGCACTGAGCAACTAGATTTTTAAACTGAAAAATTATACTGCGCTACTACTTCACCAACAGTTCATCAAGAAAACTAATTCTTAGTGATGTAAAGCAGAATTCCTGTGTGCCTACCTGAATTCTAAGAAACCCTGGAATTACTGTACTTCTGGTCTTCACCGAGGAGTGAGAAGTAATAACACGTTGTGCTTCTGCATGCGTTAATTGATTTATTTGCATAGATTTATTTGACAAAGCCCAACTGAATTACAAGCTACTGATTCTATTGTAAGGATTTTTTTATTATTACGGTATTAGAAGAATAAATGGAAGTGACATTGACACTGCAAATCTTAAGGAGAACTGAAAGATGATCACCCTCATGTTGAGTAAGAATATAGGATAAGAATATAGGGTGCAATTTCTATTGCTGGTGCTCCACCACATGCACACTTATATTAATATCTGTCTACCCATTTTTCTTTGGAGCCCATTTTTGAAGTTTTGGACTCTAATCTTTATGCAGCATTGTTGTAACAACGTAGCTTTCCTTCTCTGTGTTGGCTGATGGGAGTATAAGGACTTAACTTTCATTTATAATTTGAAGCTCAAAAAAAGAGAATTCTTGTTCCGTATAAAATAAAACGAACAAAAAAGCCAACAGTGCTGCTTGTATGAAATTCAGACTGCTTTTTTGGACAAAGTGAAGTTTTGTGGGCAGAACTGCAACTTTTTCTTAGTGAGTGAAGAGTAAGATGAAGTAACCATTGTTTCTGCAACCTTATTTATATCTCTGTTTCCCAATTTTAGTAAGAACAGCTTTACTAGCCATTATTGGATTTATGCCAACCAAAGGTGAAGGTGCAATAGGATCTCTAGATTATACACCAGAAGAAAGAAGAGCTCTTGCAAAGAAGTAAGCACTAATTTTGTTACTGTGGGTACATACATATGTATTCTCTTTTACAGTAAGGCATTGAGTAAATAGGAAAAGTCACTTCAAGACTGTTCTCTCACATTCATTTTAAATTAAAAGACAAAACAAAAGCTTTATGCCTTGTATCTGTATTCTTTTCCTGAATATTGTGCAAGCTCAGAACTTACAGTCAAATGAAATACTTTGAGAGGGCTGTGTTCCTGCCAACATTGTGTGGTCAAATTAGAGGTTCATCTCTAATTCATTCTTTAGAGATATAATTAATATTATGATATGGTGGTAATTGTGCTGCGGAAGGAAAATAAATGTGATGGAGGTGATAGTTAGTGTGAGTGATGGAGAAAACAAACATAATGATGATGCCTCGTTTCCCTCAAGTACATAATGAAACAGCAACAACAAAAAATCTGAAGTAACAGCTTCTGAATAATTTTAGGAAATTAATCACAAGTCTAATTTTAAGTTACAATGAAGCGATTAGCTTGGTGGACAAAGGAAGAGCAGCAGATGTTGTCAGTCTTGACTACAGCAAGGCTTTTGGTGCTATCTTCCTTAATATCCTCATAGAGAAATACCATGAAGCACAGCCTGGGTCAGTGCACAGTGAGGTGGGTTGAGAACTGACTGATCCGCGTGGCTCAGAGGACTGTGATCAGGTGTGTAAAGTCCAGCTGGAGGCCAGTGGCTGCTGGTGTACCCAGGGGTTGATACTGGGCCCCGTGCTATTCAGCATCGTTAATGACCTGTGTGATGGGTCAGAGTACACCCTCGGCAAGTCTGCAGACTGTACAAAACTGGGAGGAGTGTCTGATACTGCAGGGGGTTGTGCTGCCATCCAGAGGGACCTGAGCAGGCTGGAGGAGCGAGCTGAGGGGAATCTCATGAAGTTCAACATACAGAAAGGTGAAGTCCTGCTCCTGGGGAGGAATAACCCCGTGTTCTAGTATGTGCTGTGGGCCAACTGATGGGAAAGCAGCTTGGCAGGAAAAGAATTGCAGGTCATGGTGGACATCAAGTTGACCACGAGATAGCCAAATGCCCTTGCAGCAAAGAAGGCTGGCAGCCTTCTGGGTTGGATTAGGATGATCATTGCCAGCAGGGTGAGGAAGGTGATCCTTTCTCTCTACTCAGTGCTGGTGAGACTAACTTGGAGCACAGGGTCCAGGCTGGGGCTGTGTCCAGTTCAGGATCCAAGATAGGTACAGAATTACTGGATTGGGTTCAGTGGCAGGCTGTGAAGATGACTGAGGGGCCGGAATATGTTTCATATGAAGAGACTGAGAGAGCTGAAACTGTTCAGTCTGGAGAAGAAAAGGTCAGTGGGATGTTAGCAATGTGCACAAATATCTGAAGATATTTGAGCCTCTGCAAGCTCTATTCAGTGGTGCCCAGAAGAAGCAGCGGGCAGAAGCAGAGAACCATGAAATTCAGTTTGAATGCAAGAAAACACTTTTCTGTTGTCAGGGTGGACAGACACTGGTGCAGGTTGTCCAGAGAGGTTGTGGAGTCCTTATCAAACTTAGAGGTATTCAAAACATGACTGGAAATGGACTTGGGCAAATAGTTTTACTTGACCTTATTTCTAGCCAGGAAGCTGAACTAAACGATCAGCAGGACTCTAGTGCCTTATTTTGCAGTCAGATGCAAGCTTATTCTACTATACTCTGAGCTAATCAGAAGCTGCAGCACAGCACTGTGTCAAAGCTTATAAACCCTGCGTAGGGTTTATAAACTTGTAGGGTTTATTGGGTTGGTCCAGGTAGTATAATAACATGTGTATTTCTGGTCAGCATGAAGAGCTGCCTTCAGTATGCCCTGTAGACAAATATGTGTGCAAGCATAAAGGTAATGCTCTTGCAGAAGCTGAAACTCCTGGACTTGAGGTGCAGACTCCTGAGTATCATTTAGTATTTGTAATAATAGTTAACTTTTTATAATGTACACTTTTAATTTGCTTTGTATCTAAAATAAGTTTTAACATAGTTAAAATTTATTGATATAGTGCTAGGTTGCTGTAATATGTACGTAAGATAATATTTTCCTAAATGTTGGAGGGAATATGTATTTATGATATAGATTATTCTTAATACAGTTTTTCAAGGTAATGCATTTTTTTTGGGGGGGGGAAAGGTACTTCTAAGCTACTAGTCTTGAAACTACTTACCTTTCTGTGGATTGTTTTGCAAATAGTTTGCTTAAGCAAGCACACGAGAACATTGAGAACATCTCATTCTGAGCTATGTCATTCTGTGGCCAGGTCACAAGACTTCTGTTGTGAAATGTGTGGCACATCAATGAAGACAGCCCTCTTACCACTAACATCAGGAAGTGGGTCAAGCCAGGCGGACAAGGAGGCTAAAGAACTTGCCAGACAAATTAGCTTCAAGGTGTAGTAACTGTTTAAACTTTTTTCTTTGCTGTACAGAATATGAAAAAAAAAAGTGGATGAAAAATTTGTAAATTGAGGGAAATACGTTATTTTTTAAACCTTCACAAATCACTATGTGGAACCTTTTTTTAAAGGAGAGACTGAAAGAGAAAAATGAGAGTAGATCTCTGTGAATGTGACAACAAATAAACTCTGCATCTCAAGCGGTGATTGACTAGTTATAATTTCAGAGGTGAACACTACAGTAAAAATTGTGTATGTTAGTTTTAGTTCCATGTTTTTAGTCACTAATAAGATGATTAAATTCTTCAGACTTAGTTTTATCATAAATATATTAGGAAAGTTTGGGCAAAGCTAACCTAATTTTTTTTCCTTTGTGATTTTTTTTTCTTTTGGTTTATGAAAGGAATAAAACATATTCCTACTGAAAAATGGTTGCAAATGCTTTTGAGCTACTCTGCAGATGAAGATACTGAAAGTTGAACTCTGGTATGAAAGTGACTCTTACCCAAAAACGTATTCTCTAGCTTGTGTTTCAGTAAAAGTAAGGTTTGTTTAGTCAAACATGTGCCTTAGAAAATTGCATGTCTTGCATGTACAGTTTTTTTTTGTTTGTTTGTTTGTTTTTTCTGGGGTTTCCGCTAAACTCATCATTCTTCCACTCAGGAAGAGTGCTGTGCATGAAGGCAGGGATCTACAGTGAAATACAATATGGCAGTGTGGCATTGGTGCAGAATGCATCCTTGCTCAGGGTGGGAGTGCTAGTATGTCCCTTTCATTGCCAATGTTTTTCTAACACTGTTCCAAAAACTGTGTTTTTTGTGTTCCCTGAGAATGAAGATTGCCCGCTAGTGAGCATCACTGCCAATTTTGCAGGATCTGCGTGTTCCTTTTTGATCTCACATCTACACATGTTGATGTGGTTGAGTCTGTGTGTACTACTGCTTATGGTAAAAACACTTCTAAATATTTTTACAAGGATGAGGAACTACAGACACAGAGTTTTCAAGCTGAGCTACCCAGAGAAACAGTTGGGACTTAGCTGCTCTTGGCTTCTTTACAATATATAAGGGCTAAAGTGTAGGATTGGTTTTCGATTAAGCACTGTTAATCTTTATCACAGAAATATTAGAAATATCTAAGTGTAATTTCTTTTTTAAGAAAACTTAGCTTATGCTAAGTTTTCATTTTCATTTTTTCATTTTTAACCTTAACAACTTAAGGGCATCAGTCTCTAAAAAATATTGATGCATTTCATATATCCACATGTTTAACTCCATCTCCTAAGAGAAAGCATTCGATGAGGGAACAATGAACAAAAATTCAGGTTTCTACAGTCTTTTTGCAATTTTTCATTCTGTTTTGTTTTAATACAAGGCAAATTAGTCCTCTTCACTGGGTGCTCTTTCCCTCCTTTTCTCAAGTCAATTTTTTTAAGCTTCCTACTGTCTCTGCTTTGCTTGGCTTTGTGATATTTTGTGATGTTTAACGTTTATGTGATGTTAGACCGAGATATACAACTTACGAATTTGTAGCAAAATAATAGTATGAATAAGTACCAAGGAATACAAACATTTTCAGTAATTTGGACATATTCCTTATCAATTTATGGGGTAAGATTTTCACATCAAATTGCTGGTTGGACGCATAATTGGGTGAGCTTCTCTACTAGCAACATATTGGCAATGTCTGCATTATCTTCACCTATACAGAAGAGGTTCCCTAACTTTTTCTAGATGATCCTGGGATTATAAGAAATCCTTTCATACCAGCCTTAAGCAAAATTGCAACTTTTTTTTAAGTGCTTGTGATTCGTATTGGGAAAGGAATGTGAAATTCAGGGGGGCGGGGGGAAAAGGCATTTCCTAATTAGTTTTTCTGCTTCTTTGAGCTTCCACGTTTGTTTCTCTGTTTTAATAGAGAATTACATTTTTTTTTTATCAGAATTGCATTGACTTGCAAAATGTTTTCTGCATTCTTTGTGCATTTTAGATGCTATATACCAGAAATTCTAGTCCGCTGGAAGAAAAAAAAAAGATATGAATAATAGCATTTGTATTTCTGTAAAACAGAAAAAAAATGGTATATCTACATGGTGCCATCACAAGGCATACTCTAGTACAATTTGTTCTCCACCCACCCTAATTATTACGTTTAAATATGTTGATATTTCCTTGAGGTCTGTATTCTCTCTAGCTTTTCCAGAAGCAGAGGTAAGAGGACCCAGCAAAGGATGGAGAAAAGAGACTAGTTTGGAAAAAAAAACAACTCAATTTGGGAAACTTTGAAGTACCTTTTTAAAATGTATTTATTTTAAACTATATATATATATATATATGTTTTTAATTTTAGTATTACTATATTTAGCATACTAGAAATCCTTTCATAAACTAATAAATCAAATGCACACTTCAGTGTACATGCTTCATAGAGATTAACAGAAAAGATTAAAGGAACTCTTCTTGGAAAAGCAGAAGTATTAAAAAGAGTGGTCACAAGTTTGAGGAAGGGAAGTACCAGCTGGATATAGAAAAAGAATATTCACCATGTGGGTTGTCAAGTGCTGGAGCACGTGGCCTGGAGTTGCTGTGATGTCTCCAGCTTTGGAGATGCTCCAAACTCAAGTGGACATGACCCTATGTTGAGGAGGGAATTGGACCTTGTGATGCCCAGAGATCCCTTCCAGCCTAAATTATTCCATGATTCTGTGTTAATTTGGCTTGGCTCACATTTGAGTCATAATTTGCACTATCCTAATACTAGAGTTTATAGTAGATCAGTGCAAAAGGAAGTATTTTTAAATCTTTAAACCATCTTCAGATCATTTCAGTGACATAGTATTTCAGGAAAACGAGAAATTATATATCAAGAAACAGGGAATTTAATCCCCTCTCTCCTCCCCCCAGATAGTAAAGTGGAAGAATATTATCCTGTGATCTTATTAGCTTATCTACATAATTGGTTTGTTTCTAATATACTGTTTGTATTTCTTAGTAGCATTACTTACATCAGTATTTGAAGACAGGTACTAGTTCTTAGATTTGGAATTGTGATTTTTGCAGAAAAAAAAAATAAATCCAGATAACGTGATCAGAGAGGTGTAACACTACTCCTGAGAGAGAAAGACTGGCTTGGTGGTTAAAAACTGACCTGGTCCTATGCCCCTCCTCCTCTTTTTTTAATTAAATTTGGATATGTATATGTTGTAAAGTGTTTCGTTTCAGGACTATGATGTGATGTCCTCCATTCCAAAGGGATTATTGCAAGCACGTGTATTGTTTTAGCAAGAGTCTTGTTAATGATCCTCGATGTGTCACTATAGATCTACCAACGTCTCAAATTTCCAAAAGCATGAGGCCTAACCTCTGGGAACTGGTGCTTATTAGACATTTTCTAAATCATATAATACGGTATTATTAAGACTGGTATTTTTACTTTTGCTCTTGTGCTGAAACTTAAATACTGAAAGCTGACTTATGGCTGCCTGACACAGAATCAGGCCATGCACATGCACCCATTTTGACTCTGAGGCAATTTCGGGATTAGAACCACTCTAGATTAACATTAACATAGCACGCACCTGAGGCTAATTATCCCTGCTGAGAAACAGGCTATATTTGTCCACATGTGACAGCATTAGTCAGCCCTTACTTAAGGATCATGAGAAACAGAAGTTTTAACAAGGTTGTTATTTCTGGCATAATTTTGGCCTGGATCTTCTGAATATTTTTTGTAGCTCCATTCATTTGTGTTTTTTTAATGTTACACCCATTATTATGTACAAACAAATAGAACAACAAATGCAAAATAGAACTGGGATATTGTCTGAACTGATGTTTATTCATCTATAGTCTTTTTTCTTAAGAGTTAGTTTTTCTTAAACCTGATGATGAGTTGAAATGCAGTTGACGTTTTGATCACTTCAGTAAATCTTACATTCAGCATGCCCTAGAATGGGCATTCCAAGAAGAGCCAAGTCTGTTTGGAGTAATTTTGATCTTGCCTCTGAAGTGTATTTATGTACTATTCCTTGTAGGCAGAAGTCAATTCATCGAGGAAGTCAGATGCTGAGCCTTCAAACTCATCAGGATCGAACCACTCTGCCGCTTTGCCTGAGCCCCAGCAGGATGGTGCAGCTCGAGCATTCCAGGATCCAGCCAGTGCAATGGTATGGTCCATGTTTGAGCTTTATCAACGTGCATAGTCTGAACACGAAATCTGTACTATTAGCTGATAGGAGGCTTCATCCCGAGCATGGAGTCCATATGTTTCTTGTCAAATTTCTGCATCCCTATAAAAACTTCAGCAAATAGGATGCTGCTTTTGGAAATAAAGATCTTTTGTTTTCACTTCCTTCTTTTAAAAAACAAACTTCAAATAGCTTTCTTTTATCCATTCACATTCCCAGTAGATCCTTTAATGTATGGGGTAACACTTCATTAAAGTATCACAGTGTCTTAGGTACTACTTACCCTCCGCATAATAGATCACAGATGTTCTTCAATAGAATTCTTAGCTAGAGGCAAAAGCTGCTGCAGTGATAATTTGTAGCCTTTAAATACTAAGAATATCTTCCTGCTTTTATGGTCTAAGTAAATTTGACTAAAATATTCTTACTGTTTGAAGTACATGATATGAGATTCAAGTCTTAATGCCGGTAGGTGTAGGGTTTACATAATAGATTCGGAAGTGACCGAGGCCTGGTAGTGGGCCAAGGCAGCTGCTGTTCCGACTGTGGCAAATGCAATCTAAATTCACTGATAAATTGCAGACAAATCCCAGCTAAGCTGTGTTTTTTAGAGAGGATGGGGCTGCAGATTGGTTAAAAAAACTAAAACACGTCAAATAACGTCAGACCATCTGTTGCATGTTTGCAACATATTTTCAAGCTATGTAGAAATATAAACATGCTAATAGCATACGTTTTTTTCCATGAGAAGGATTTTTCCAGATTGTTCAGGATTTAATAAACCATTTTGTTTTATTCTTCTCAATACAAATCCTGGCTAATATAGTAAAACTAGCCAAAATACCAGAGCATCAGTAGCATTTTCTTGAGGGAGGGGGAAAAAAAGAGACTTCAGAAAAGGCTGATTTTGATTACTCCCATTTCTGAGAACAGTTTCATTCAATTATGCTGGTCTAATGAGTGATGATGAACTTAACTTACAGCAGAGCAGTCCTATGTGAAATGAAAGCTTTAAATGTCATAGTAATGTATATTAAATGTTTATATGTCACAGACTGTAAATGATGAGGAAGTGGATTAATGTTTTAAGGGAGCAGAACGTCACTGTTTCATAAACATTCCTTGAGCTTAAAGAAATACCTGTTTCTCTGAGTTGCCACCTTTTGGATGCTAGGAATTTTCTGGAGCCGTTATTCATGCGAAAACGTACAGAAATCTTCACACAGTACACACAGGCCAGAGGCCTTGATGTGCTAATAGGCACGAAAGTGTCCGTGCAAATCTCAGGTTCTTTCTGCTCAGCTGGGCTTCTTGAACGTATAAATTTCTTTTAAGTTGGTGGTTCTTGTGGAAAGGCCTAATTATGCCTTGTTAAGTTGAAAATCACAGATGGGACAACATCAAAACTATTTTTTTCTCTTTATGGATAAAATGTTTACCCCTTATTTCACAAGTGCATGTTTAATGCACTTGTCTCCAACTTCCTTGTAAGGGGGTGTCGAGAGGCAGGAGACCTTTTCTCCATTAACACCAGTGACAGGACCCGCGGGAACGGGGTTAAGCTGAGGCAGGGGAAATTTAGGCTTGACATCAAGAGGGGGTTCTTCACAGAGAGAGTGGTTGCACACTGGAACAGGCTCCCCAGGGAAGTGGTCACTGCACCAAGCCTGTCTGAATTTAAGAAGAGATTGGACTGTGCACTTAGTCACATGGTCTGAACTTTTGGGTAGACCTGTGCGGTGTCAAGAGTTGGACTTGATGATCCTTAAGGGTCCCTTCCAACTCAGGATATTCTATGATTCTATGAATTAAAAGCTATTGGAGAAGAATTGCTGTTGTGAACTTGAAATTTATGCACTTAGATAATAAAAAGAGTGGAGGCAGACCCAGTGCTAAATCCTTGAATTAGTTTGGGTAATTTTTTGTAAAATAGTAGATGTAATATGTGTGACTCTGAAGTCATGGGACCTTATGTCCTGTTACACACTATGGAAGGGAAAAAGTAGCAGTAATCAAGCAGGAAGAATGGAGTATATTGCCTGTGTCGTGTTATCTTTCTTCTGGTCTTGGGACACTTATAACAAATAGATGCTAAGGAAAGGGTCTAACTGTAGGTGAAGAGGTGAAAATCAGCAGGCTAGGTTTTACACTAGGAAAGCGATCACCTACAGACTGCTTCATGGGTGAGTTTGTTTTTTTCTGCAGCAGTTGTCCTGTGATTTGTACCATTAAGCTACTTGAGTGGACGGAGGGTTTTGCAATGAATTAATAGCAAGGCATTTGCGAGCACGGTGATGCTTCTTCTGGGGTAGGTTTAGCTGAATTCTTGCATGAAAGAGCACTCTGAAGTGGTGCAGGTCACTGGCATGGGCACTGCTTTGAGTCTGCTCCATCTCTTCTGCGTGGGGCTCTTATTGCTGAAGAATTTCTCATCCCATTAGAAGAAAAGATACTTTGAACTTACTTTCCCTTCTGTCAGCTATCACTGTCAGGAATACAGCTTACTAATGAGCCACCAAGACTTAAAATATTTCACAGATAACCACGGTTTTTACGTCAAATTGAATTTTAAAACCAAGTACTTTTGTTTTAGCAATGGCAATTATTTATATTAATGACAACACTAGTACATCTCTCCTGTGTGTGTGTGTTATTTTGCCATACCAATAGTCAGTGTTTTGATGCAACACTTAAAATTACTACCCTGTCCTCTTTGTCCTGTTCTCCAGCTGTAAATGAAGTACGTTCCCAGTGCAATATTGAGTGTACGTTTCCTGAGTTCCTGTCATTTAAAAAGCAGATGGAGGGATAGAGGTGGTCTCTCCAGTGCAACACATGGTGATGAAGATGGCTTTTCACCTAGTACTGTGTACTTGTGAGGAGCGTGAAGCCAATGCAGAATGGTCTGACAAAGTGCCTCTGACTAGGCTACTCCAGAAAAAGTGCATGTTTTTTTTATTTTATTTTTAATTTTCAGTAGTTATTGATATCTCCTCAGGGCAAAGTAATGGTAGATTACTCCCATTTGAGTTTTCAGATTGCAAGCAAGGTCCTGCTGGAAGTTGACGTGTTGAAAGTACTTGCCCTTTTCATTAAGAAACTGGATTCTACCACATCTGACAGAAGAATGATTTTGAGTTAAGGTATAGTAGATAGCTCGGACTCAGCTACAGATGGCCACCTGCCATCCCAGTGACCACCTAAAAGTGTCCATGCTCTCATTGTGGTCTGTGGGACTGCTTGATGCAGGCTGGAGTGGCAAAGGCTGGGTCCTAACCTGAGAGAGGGATATCCCAGACCCTGTGAGGTCATGCTAAGAAATAAAACCCGGGGAAGTGGACGGATGAAAAAGTTACGTTGTTATGAAAGGGTTGAGGTCCTGCTTCCCAAGACATGGGTGAGCATTGCTTGCTGATAGGAAGCAGAGAATAACTGTCTTCTCCTTTTGCTTCTGTGTGGCCTTTGCTTTTTCTCTTTTCCTTTAATTAAACTGCTCCTTATCTCAACCCACAAGCTTTTCTCTCTTTTTTTTTTTTTGTTGTGTTTTCTCCCCTCTCCCTCTGAGGAATGAGAGGGGGAGAGCAGTGTGGTGGAGCCTGTCGGTTATTAAACGACCACAGCTGCTTGTGAAGTTCTTGGCTGTCTCTGCTGATAAAACCCCAGGTGGAAATGAATCCATTTAAAAATATTTTTCTTTGAAGCAACACAGGCTGCTTGCTTGCTTGAGAAACCTATGTAAACAGGCAGGCTGTCAAATGTGGCAAGGAATTACATCGGTACGTTATTGCTGATAATACACAGGGGGAAATACTAGTGATGGGTAGGGAGGAAAGGAAGGTCTCTTCCCTGGGCTAGTTAAATCACTCACCAGGTGACAGTTTGAAGATTTTTTTCCCCCCAGATACAGAATATATGGCCAAAGAGTCATGGGACTTTGTGTGGCTTACTGTCTTGTGCATCACCAAACTTGATACTCAGCTGAGGACGTTCCCTCTCTGCCAGGTGTGGGAAGGATATCTTCTGTGGTTATAGCAGCTCTCATGCCAAAGCAGTGCTTAAGGTTATGGATACTGTGTCATTAAAAAGCTTTTGTTTGGAAGCAAACAAACCCTCCTGAATTCCCTTTTTGCCTGCTGTAATGATAACCTCTTTTATTAGGGGGGGAAGCTAGCTTTGTAAATAGTTGCAGGTTGAATTACAAGGAAGTACCTGCAATCTGCTCTGAGAAGTGAAAAGAAGACTTTACATATTATATATATGCAAAGTCATGTCAGCTGCTTTTCTGATTTAAGAATTAAACATCTTGACAGAGTTCAATTTTAATTTCCAACAGCGGTGCCGTGTCACTGTTTTAACACTATAATGTTGCAAGTTTGAGCCTTTCAGCATCAGAAGCAGGATCAGGCCAGTGGAATACCAGAGCCCGTGGCTTCGACCTTACAAACTGAAGGATGATTCTGCTTTAGGATGCCACTCTCCTGAGCTGTGTAACAGCTGCTGTCGCTTATTTTGTCACTGCCTGTGGTGGCAGCCCAACCTGTGACCAGCAGAGGGCAATGGGTGTGTGCGTGCATAGGTACAGAGCTCAGGGACTGGTGCAGGAATCTGTGTCCAGGGATTTTGATTTGTGTTTTGCTTCCCCAGTGGTGGTGATGAGAGCAGAACCCAGCTGTCCACAGGAAGCAGTGCTTAATTACAGGCCTCTGGACTTCTCTCCTTCTTATATTGTCCTCCCCAACTTGCTTCCTCTTCAGTGTAGGTGACGTTACGAATCTTCAGAAACTACGGTCTGGAGGATTACTGAATGGCAAGGAGTTAAGCAGGTTCTAGACAAAGATATTTGACGTATCTTGATCTGAAACTAATCTAGAATTCAAATATTGTTTGACAGGCTTTCTTCAGGCTTCTCATGTCCGTAGAACTGCTAATTAGGAGCTTGAAATAGACTTCTCAAGGTTGTTACATAAATCAGTTTTGTCCTTATGCTAACAGTAGTAGTAGTTATCTCAGAACTACTAGTGACATTTTTATCAGACTTTCAAGTATTAAGAACTATCTGGAGAGTACATTTTAGTTCTGATGATTTTATTCATCGCTAATTTTGTGTTGTCTTGCTTCAACTCTTTGTGTTTCCTTTTTCAGTCCGAAACTCAGAACAGCAGCGCAGCGTCCAGCCAGGAGCGTGCTCCATCGGTGTCCACTAATACGTCTCTGAGCCCTCGGCAGCGCCGTGCCCAGCAGCAGAGTCAGAGACGGGCCCCGTCTTCGACCGACTTCAATCGGGTGCAGCAGCCAAGAGTCAACGCCAACCACACCGGGTCAACTGTTCTGATCGTCCTGCTGACTTTTGCGCTGGCAGCTCTTATATTCCGAAGAATATGTTTGGCTAACGAGTATATATTTGAGTTATAAGGCTGTTTCTCTCATAAAGACCCGTGACTTGAAGGCTTCGTTGAACATTCTGTATTGGGTTTGACATAAGAACTGTTTACAAAAATTACTTTTGTATTTACGCGTTAAGTCCTTACGAATGTACCTACAGGTACATTACTTGTAAGAAAAGAAAAGTCTGTTTAACTACAGCAAGTGTTAATTTAGTGCCCACTATATCCTTGGAGAAACAGTGTGGTGGAATAGTAAGGTTAAGGCATGTGTGAGGGGAGTCAGTTTCAGTAATTTATTAACTAGAAAAAGACAGTTTTAAAAAGTGGTTGATTCACTTTTTTTTTTTTTTTTTTTTTGTTAATAGAACATAAATGCAGTTAATGACCCAATCTAAGTTAGTATAATATCTAACCTTGGAGACGGAATTAAGAAGTGAAACACTACGATGTGTTTGGGCCCCAGTGAGCTCTTAATTTGGAGGGGATACAGTTTTGTAACCACGTTTGTTTACCATGACACATTTCTAGTTGGGTGGGAACACATAAATTGGTTGAAATTCTGGTTTGCATGTGTGAAAGGGGGAAAGGAGTAGGGGAGGTGAGAAGGGGCCAGAAAACTATTTGCATTATTTTGATTTTTATTTTTTTGGGAAATAAGATTGGATAATCTTATTTGCAAGATTTGAATGTCCTCTTCTAATACTCTCAAATGTATATCTTGCTTTTTTTTAAATTTGAAGATTATATAAACATGTCTATTCTTGCAATAGTTATAAATATGTAATATAATTATTTACCCAGAGCTATTGTGTTTTAATTATACCAGAAATATACATAAGGCATTTAACTGAATGTTTCATATGTGGTTTTATTTCTTAGAGAAAATTTAAACATTATTATACTTAAACTCTCATATATGTGAACTTGCTTAAGAAGAAATATTTATTAAAACCTTGGTAGTAATAAACTGTTTCAAGCCAACCTTTGGTTATGTTTCAACTATCACAGGGGTTTTATTTGTTTTGTTTCAGTGGTTTGTAACCCGGAATCAGTATTGGACCCAGAGGCTTTTTCTGTATTATTGGTTTATTAAAAATAAATAACGGTTAAGATATTCATGGATGCTGTGAAATCATACATTTGGGGGGTAGACTGAAAACTGTTAAGGTTTTAAGAGGGTTTGTTTGTGGAATCGTAAGTATTGCAGTGAAGTAGAGGAAAGCAATCAGTGGAATAATTTTCCACCTGTGTTCTGATGTGAATGCACTCTAGAATGTTTATTTAAAAGACAGTGGAATTCAGCTGATCTTTTGTTGTTGTTGTAAATAACACTGAGTTAAGTTAGGTTTTCATCGTGGTTCTAAGCCAGTATTTATTAAGGTACCTACAGCTCTCCTGACTTTCATTAAATGTAGTGTGTATTAGTGTTTTGAAACATTAAAGTAGCTATAACAACTTCTAAAATAAGTAAAGCCCATTCTGTGTTTAAGAGGGGGGTTATTGAAATCTAAAATGAAAAACAACAACTTTTTTTTTTGACACTTGTGGATTGTTGATAGTCCTGTTTGTGGAACAAAGATTAAAAAAAGAAAGGTTTTATTAAACAGTTCACATTCCACTGCAGAACAGCTTGGTGTCCTCTGTGTAAGTGATGTGTTTCCTATTTGTATATTTATTTTGTTAGAAATGTTTTTCTAAACAAAATCACAGGTCCCGTAGCCTCTTAAATAAAAGTACTGTATTTCCCAGTTGGTTTCTTGTTCGAGTACCTGCTCCATTCAAGAATGGCAAACCTGGGCTCGCAGGGAAGCGTTGTGAAAGGGGTTGGGCACACAGAACAGCAGAGATGGGTTTTGGCCTTCCTGCTCCTTGGGAAGCTTTGCTTTGAATGCACGTTTATTTTCCTATTTTTTTTTTTTTCCTAGAGCCACGCTGCTGTTCCAGTCAGACTTCTGCTCTTGTACCCGTTCGTCACCCCTCTCGTGACCAGGGCAGATAAGTCCTCTGCAGAGAGGCCGTCTGTGGAGGTGCTGTTAGGAAAACAACTTATAATGGTTTCTGAAAACTGCTTCTCTGTTGTGACTAATAAAAGAGCTGCTTTGGAGCTTTTCAGGTTTATTTCAAGTTTTCATTTCAAACAAAACACCTCACTGTACCACTATTTGTTTGGAAAAATAAATGGTAGCTGTTAATTTATGTGAAGAATCTATTGCATGTGTAGGTACTTGGGGGCTTCTGTTTTTTCGTCTTTCTCTAAAAGTTAACAATAAATAAAACCGTTTTCAGTGGAAATAGCTCATCTTTTATCTTCAACAGCATAAAGAGCCAGGCTGACTAAACTGGAAAATAAAAACCTCAACTGGTGTAAAACCACGGCACTACGTATGCCACTGTGAAACGTACTTAGCTGAAACACGATGGCACGGTCGCTTCCCGGTTGAAAAAGTCACCATGTGAGCGAACAGAAAAGCTGGAAAGCCTGATGAAAAGGGACAGCACGGTTTTACACAGTCTGGCAGAAGGATAGCACCGTCCTGAGATTAGGGGATTGAGCAAAAAGCCGGCGTGCCGAATTGCGGTTTTTATGTAATGGCTTTAGCAAATATCCTCTAGGACCCAGCGGGAATGTTTGGCGAGGCAAACTTTGGGAGCGACGGCCAATCGTTAGGCGGTGGCGAGGGGAAAGCTCGGAGGGAGAAGCCCTTGAAAGCCTGTCTGAAGTATGAGATCGGGAGCGCAGCGCTGCTGCTGCGGATGGCTGGCAGCCAGGCGATGCTGGAATTAGCGGCGCCCCGATGCTCGCAGCCGGGGGGACTCGTGCCGCGGTGGGTTACGGCAGCACGGCGTGTCTAGCCGCTTCCAGCAGCATGCCTTATCTCACAAAGCTCCTTTTATTCATCTTCTGCTTGGTTCTTCTTGTGGAAAGCAGAAAGCACAGGAGGAGGAGGTGGACGAGCCAGCCGGAGGTGCAGAAAGCCAGGTACGGGTTATTGTAATACCTACGTTTCTCTTCCTGCGGTGTATAAGTACAGTATTGCACAGTCCTAAAACCTGCCCTGTCAGTGTGTCTGTGTCTATAGCGAGAACAGCTTCACAAATCACATTTTCGAATACTTTTCGGATACCATATTCACTTTTAAATGTGTAAGGATGCGGTTCATGAGGCGGGTTTTGTAGCCTCCTTGACAACTTCTGCATGCTCTGTGCTAAAGGTGTTCTTAGCCGTGAGTGAACAGCCCAGCTGCAGAGAGAATTCGGGGATGTTGAATGTGAACAGTGAACAGAGATGTTCAAATCTACCTGTTCCTCAGTGTCAGACCAACGCAAGTGTTTCCAGAGGAGGCTGTTTGCTCTGTCGGACTGTCTGAGCTGCTTTTGTTCACTTGGTGCTATCACCAAACAACCTGGGGTGTTGCTTTGCATGCACGGCATTAACAACACACAGAAAATTACCCAGGAATTGTGAAATTCTAAATGTATTCTGAAAAAAATATGTGGAAATTAAAAATATATATATTAAAGTCAAGCAAATGCACAAGAAAGAGTTACAGGTCTTGGTAAACTTTATTAGATTTAACGCTGCTGAGATTTGACCAGAGGTTTACATTAGAAAAGATAATCTTCCAAACCTGCCAGACAGCCCAAAGGATGTTATCCTTTTTTGTGGTTATGTCATCCAGGGGCAATTATATCTTACAAGATTGTTCATTGTTCCAAGGGCTCAAAAATAAAATGGGGTTAATCCTTATTAAATGGCTTCTCTATGGCTGTAAAGCTTCATCTTTTTACTTATTTTGGCGTTTTTTTTTTTTTTTTTTATTTCTCTATTGCACTGAACTTTTTTATTTTAGAGGGTGTGTTGTCACTTGCACACGTTGCAAAGAAATGTTGTGATACAACTGAAAGGAGAGAGTCCCCAAAGTGTTCTTAGATTTATACAGCTTTTTTGAAAAATACAGTGGTCTATATGCTTTCAGTGACATAAATGTTATTAAGCTGAAACAGCTAGGGCCTGATCCTGAAATCTGAAAGCTGTCTGAAGTTTTGCCAATGATTTCAACAGAATCTCAATTATTGAATGAAATCTTTCATTTAACTCTGAAATTTTTCTATTTCTGGGGACATTTGAGATTAGCGTTTTCTTGCAAACCATTCACGTATGGTAGAGATCATCTACTTTGGAGTAACAAAATAGTACATATCCTTTTAAACAGCAAGCACCGTACTTATTTAAAAGTATAAAATAATCAAATATTTGGAAGTGTCAGATATGAATGACATTTTGAATACAGAGAATTCTGCTATACTACCAAAACGAGTGTATGGAGCAGTGACATAGATAGCTTAAATTTCCAGTTACCTATAAAAAATAAAGTGTCTAAATCAGCCGTGAACAGCGGCCTGCTCTAGTAAAAGCAAATTACAACCTGTTCCCATGCTGGTTTTCTAATCATGTAAGAGAAATGAGAACAGCATCCTTATTTAGTAACTGCATCACATCTTCTGCTTCGTATTTCTCTTGATGATTTACCGTGAGGAATATAGCAGATTTATTTTACAGCAGTGACTTAGCCAGGAAGATTTATTCCCGTGTTTGGGAGCCTACGTTTGAGAAGTTTGATATTTTGTGCCATTTAATGTGATACATCAACCTGATCTGAAGCTCTTTATGGTGTTTTGAGCATCTTGCTTGGGTTGCGTGAGTGCAGGCCTCCCCTTCGATGCTTGAACACTTTGTAGAGGTTCTTGCCAGGGATTTCTGAGTGCTTGGCTTCACTGCTCCTTCAGGCTCTGGGACAGGTCTCCACAAAGTGTGTATTTAGAAGCTGTTGAGCCTGTGCCTCCACGGGAGAGGAACACGCTGTGGCAGAGTTAGGGCTGTGAAGTTTGGAACCAAATTAAGAAATGCCAGCTGAACAGTTGCCTCTGCATCTTAATCTCTTCTTTTGCTTGGTGTTACATTCTGCAATGTGTTATTTTTCCCTGTGGGAAGGGAACCTCGTTCACCATGCTGAGTGGGTAACGCTTGCTCAAGGAGAAGCTGCTCCCCTGACTTTCCCTTACTCCTGCACCCCCACCTCACATGTCAGCCAGCAGAAACGCTGTTTGAGCCAGAAGTTGCTTTCAACTTCTGTTAGTTAAAGACCTCCTACCAAGATTTTTGGAAGCAGGTAGCGATTTGGAGGATTTCAGTAAATTTTCTGGGCATGCTACGCCACCGGCCTTGGGCTGGGTCCCAGAAGCAGAAGACAACCACCAGGGCACAGCAGCACAAAGCTCGCTCCAAGCAAACGAAAAACATGAACAGCAATAGAACAGATTTTTTTTTAATTATTATTACTTATTTATGGTTAAAAGACATTCTTCTAATCGCCAAGCAAAAATGGAGAGTCAAGTGCAAAGAAGGTGGGTGGCTTTAAATGAACAGTCGTACACTGCAGAAAGCATATGAAGAAAGCAGAAAGAAACCCTGGCAAACCTATAATCAGATATGTTAAAGACAGCGAGCACTGGATTTACTCTATGAAACATCTTTGTAAAAGGTTTAAATGGATTCGTAATTAGAGGACAGACCTCTGCATCTGTAAATTTTGAATCATCCGGGATGTGCAGAGCAGGGATGGGGAGGACCTGATGATTGTGTGGTGGCTGGTAAACACCACCCCTTTCTCAGCAAGCTCCTGAATATCTCCGCCTTCCCCCTAAACCATCGCCAGCGTCCCCAGCCCCTCTGCCCCCCGAGTTTTCTTTGCTACTCCTGTGTGCCGTTTGATGGTTTTAAATGAATCAATGGGAGCTTGGTGCTGCCAGGAGGCTGTGCCATCGATGTACATGATGGCCTTATGATGCTGTCAGGGTTTTTCGTACAGCATGTGAGCCAAAGTTTTATCAGAGTGTTTCCTGCTTTATTACTGTTGTTGTTGACTTTTCACCCTGTGGACAGAGAGGTTGCCCTGAGCAGTGTCTCACCACTATTGGGTCTTTCCACAGGGGTTAAAGTTGAGCAGATGCGGTAAGATCACTCTTCGATGACAGTTTGCAGGAGAGGCAGGGTGGGGTGCTTTGTCAGCAGCCCTGGGTTTTCCAAAAAAATGCATCATGATTTGTATTTTAATGACTCCTGAGCACATGCACAGGCTTTCCACAGCCATGCTTATAAGAGTGGAAGTTGTTTTGTAAGCTCTGACTTTTTGATCAAGATTTGAATCCTAATTTACTCTCACTTTTTGTACCTACTAGAGTAATCCCTTTATTTTTGTCTCCAAGATGCTTGTTCTTTACCAGCCAGTAATATTCCTCCCACACAGGCGAATGCATCTTAACCCTTTTGTATGTAGTTCTTTTTATTTATTGTTTAAAATAAATAAAAGCCACTTTCAGTAAGTGGCTGACACATGGTATATTATATATTGTGTCAACATTTACATCTGTGTCAGAACTTACGCCTCGAGCAAGGGGTTGAGGAATTTGAAGCCCTCCTTCCTGCACCACTGGGGCATGGCCAGGGCTGCTGAGTGGGGTTTTCTGAAAGTGCTTACTTACCCACTTCTGCCACTCCAGTGGCTTTCATCAGGGGCTTGCTTTCATCCTTATTCTATTGTCCTCAGATAATCCCCGATCTTCAAATAAAGAGTTGATTATTTTATACCTCCCCCTAAATATTCAGAAAAGTGAAGTGTATCTTGCTGACTTCTTTATTACAAAAACTCTTTTCCTGCTGCTGTGGATGGAAATGAGTGACTTTTTGTCACTGTTTAGAGCCAGAAGACAGAGCTCTGTATCTGCATCAGCAACTGATCCTCATGGGGCAGACAGCCCCAGAATAACGTATGACATTGTGTGACCCCTCCCAAAAATCATCCTTCTCATGGTACCGTAGCACTGACAGCCTTAGCAGGGCCCGTGAAACCTGGCAGGTGGCAATCAGCCGCTGCTCTCTCTTGCAGCCACATCTACAAGAAGAACCACGACGTGACCAAAACTCGGAAAGGGAAGACGGAGCAGCTTCTCAGAGTCGATGACCATGACTTCACCATGCGGCCGGCCTTTGGAGGTGAGAACAAAAAAATGGTTCTGTTAATTTCGTGCTCATTTATTTTAAAAAATAATAACCATGCCTCTAGCCAGATGTCTTTCCCTTACACCAGTGTGAAGGGGGAGGATGTGTATGGTTTCAGGAGATACCTCAAGGTGCTTCAGAGAGGCCTCACCCCCTCCCCGTTGCCTTCTGCGCTCTGTGCAGCTGCACTCCTTCCTGCTGCTAACGCCAACTCCTTTGTGCTAGTGTTCCTCAGAGTCTGACTGAGCTTCCTGGCAGGTATTTCTCTCTTTTGGGAAGACGCCCAAGCTGCAGGTTTTAATGTCCACTTGTAGCTGTGAAGTCACAAAAAGCTTCTCAGTTGACTTGGTTGAGCTGCACAGTAACAAGCTCGTTAGGTGGGTCTCATTGCTAGGAAAAAATGAAGTATTTTTGTCCAGAGGAAATCTTGTCTAAGACAAGATCAACCACAAGAGCAACCACAAGATCAATAGGGATCTCCTTGGAGATCTTCAAAAGCCTCCTGGATGTGGTCCTGGGCAGCCTGCTCTGGGTGTCCCTGCTGGAGCAGGGGCATGTTGAAGATGACCCCCAGAGGTCCCTTCCAACCTCAGCCATGCTGAGGCCCTATGGAAATACGAGGGGTTTAGTTCAGCTGTGCTGATGGCGCAGGTTTTGATGTCCAGTGTCATCACTGCACAGTATTTCTGCAGACATCTCATTTTTACTGTTTTTCAGTGTCACGGAGCCCATGAGGATTATCTCTGTGCCTAGCTGACACCAAGCAGACATAAACAGTTACACGAGGTGTTTTGCTATGCACTGTGAGTTCCTTCAGCTTTTGCTGCAGTAATGCCAGTCAAACTGAAGCAGTCTGACCTGCACGTAGTAAGAAGGCTGTTTTACTGCTGAAGCAGTGTAGAAGAGCCACTGGGACGCGTGTGACTGCAACTGGTCACTGCCCTGAGACATTTTCTGCTCTCTGAGGGCAGCTCAGGGGCCACGGCCTAATGGAGAGTCTGTCCCTGTGACAGTGCGCTGGGACTGGGATGTTACGTTCCAACTGGGAAAAAGCAGCTCAACTGGAAAAAATAAACCAACCACATCATAAGGAAATTGTGACTATGTTAGTTTATTAAAAAAATTATAAAATCCAATACTGTAAATGTGATGGTTCATAAGCTCAGTGAAATAATGTGCTCAGCGAAATAATGTACTGTTTTGAAGGCTGTTAGCCTTCAAAAATGTTGGTGGACCAGCCTACAACTTCATGAATGCTATAAAAAGGGGATGGAGCCTGGAGCTGCTTTATCATGCCTACGGTGATGCTTGCTAGTCTGCAGAGGGCAGCCAGCAAGCCGCCAGCCCAGCACAGCTGTGACCAGGCTGGGCAAGATGAAACAGAAGAAAAACATTAGAGGAAAGTGAAAGGATTTTCAAGAACAAGTATCTTTTGTGAAGAGCAAGCGAGCAGGCGAGCGTTGTGTAAGTTGTGCTGTTAACAGCCCAGTGAGCACCGCTGTCCCGCCTGCTCTCAGCCCATTAGAGACAGGCCATTGGGTACGGTGGTAAATGACAAAGATTTTTGCTTTGCTGGTGCCCAAAGGAGTGTCCACAGCCTAAAATAAACTGTGTTCGGTTTGACCCTTGGGGAGTTATCTCCATGTCAGTGACCTTGTACGAGCTAGCAGATGTTCAGGTATTATTTACTAATATTAATATTTAAAGATTATGTAAATGTTTGTTTTGCTGCCTTCCTTGAACATCCATTTTAAGCATTTCATCTATGACATCTCGTATTTTACAGGGAGCTTGTGAATAAGCAGCTTTAGATGATACTTAAAATAGCCGTATCTTCTTTGCCTAGGAACAGCCCCGTGCTGTACTTTTATCACATTTCTTCATAGCCTGATAGCCTGCCGCCGCCCTGTCCTCGCTGCCCTCCGTGGGCAGTATTTCTGTCGGGGTGGATGAGTGGTGGGATGAATGAAGCATCAGCCGTTCACTTGGGGTTTGTGTCACAAATACTGACACAATAGGGCTGGGATAAAACTCACCTCTCCCTCGATGCCAGGCCATCGGTGAGTTTGTGGCAGCTGCTGAGCGCATGAAGGCCCCAGACATAACACTACACACACACGTGTGTGTTATGTATACACAAACACGCAGGAACCCTGAAGGCTTTTACAGCCTGGGGATCTCTTAGGAACATTTACAAGACTTCAGGCATTTGCAAAATCCCTGGCAGCAGAAAAAAGTCTCAGACCTGCTTGTTTCACATGTAGATATTTGTATCTTGGGGCCTAAGTCTGCCTCATGTCCTTCAGAGATAGAGGAGGGGACAGAGAGACCGACTCACAGAAACACACCAAGCCTTTGAAAACACTGCCAAAGAGATAAATGAGAGATGTCACGAAGCTTTAGTCTCAGGACAGGAATGGAAAACTGTCTGAAGGCATTTTCACGGTGGTTGGCACGTTTCCCCCAATCTTCCAAAACCGTTTTTTTTAACAGCATTAAAAAAAAAAAATAAACATTGTGTTTGTGGCCAGTGCCTGCTTCTGCTGTGTGGGGAACTGACTGGCCCTTTGCAGTGTTCTTGCTGCTCCTCAGTGGGTGGTTTTAGAGGCCAAGATGGTGGGATGTGACAGGCTTTAACATTAGGCACCTTCTGAAGTTGTTCCTCAGCTGGACTTGTGGAAACTTTCTGTGCTCCCTTGAGAGGTTACCTAGCCCCAGACTGGATGTCCTGTGTACCCTGGGACAGAGTTTGGCATTCAAATGGAGTTTTTGCAAGGTGAATCAAGCCACAAAGTCACCTTGGTGTCAGGACCCACCCAAAATGGTGGCCTGTTGTGTCTGAGCGTTGGGTTGCTCTGTTCTCCTCATCTGACCACTGACTGCAGGTGCAAAGTGAATCTTGTGTTAAAGGCCTTCTGTATCGGGTCTTTGCTATGGGCAGCACCTAAGCTGAATGTTTAGTGGCTTTTGTTGAAGAGCAGGTCACAAAACTCAGCACCTTTCAGCAGAGGGAAGAGAAATGAGGGGGTACTCGCACCACTGGTCCTCAGGATATCAGGTCGTGAGCTTTGCAAAGGAATAAAGGCCTATAGAGCCACGAATGCCTTGACAGGCTGGCTCCTCGGTGTCCTTCTAATACCCAAGTTTGGTATGACGCAAAGACACTGTCACAAGGGAATTTAGAGAAATAAGATGTTACTGGAGCAGTTTTGGAAGGTGTACATCTACAGTGATGGGGTGTAATGGTGCTCTGTCATATCACAGAATCACAGAATGGTTTGGATGGAAACGGACCTTACAGACCTTCTAATTCCAGCCCCTGCCATGGGCAGGAACACCTCCCACCAGCACAGCTTGCCCAAAGCCCCATCCAGCCTGGCCTTGAGCACCTCCAGGGATGGGGCATCCACAGCTTCTCTGGGCAGCCTGTGCCAGTGCCTCACCACCCCCTGAGTAAAGAACTTCTTCACTCCACTCCCTGACAGAGTCCCTCCCTATTCCTCCTGCAGTGCCCTTTAGGCACTGGAAGGCTGCTGTAATGTCTCCCTGGAGTCTTCTCTCCTCCAGGCTGAACAACCCCAGCTCCCTCAGCCTGTCTTCACAGGAGAAGACATATCGCAAGTAAATCCTAAGTGCTCTCATCAGCCTCAGATTGTGCTGCAGATCGCTTAAATCCCCTCTCAACAGGCAAATGTAAATATCTTCTTCAAAAAGATGATCTCCAGTTTTCAATTTTCGATGATAATATTGTCAAATTTGCTAATGACTTGCACAAGTGTCTTGAGGTTGCTTAGAAGCATGCCATTGTGCCGTGTTTGAGATGCTAGGGGAATAGTTTATAGATGGATATAGACTAGTTCATTTCTGTATTGTAAGTAGGAGTCTGACTTTTTTTTTTTACTTTTTTTTTTTTTTTTTCCCCTTTCTGGCTGTGTCAGTCCTGCTGAATTAGGATTTGTGTTATGCAAGATGTTGCTGTGGACAGTGATGGAGATGACTGATGTTGATATGTTTGCTGTTTCTGGAAGAAATGTCAAGGTTATACAATTTATCTCTAGACCTTGATCTATAAATACTTGAGCTCATGTTTAATTTGAATAACTCCATGAATTTGGCTGACGCTTCTCAGAGACCCTTCAGCATGATCTGCAAACCTTGCTGGGCTGCAGGCTTTGAGCAAAGCAGCCTTGCTTCCTCTCTTTGGCTAAATCCACCACTTTTGCAATCCATTTAGCTTCCTATCACTTGTGCTAGAGAGGAGCCTGATCTTTGAGATGCCTCCAATGTTACAGTGTCTAGGTCTTTTCCTGTTTGTGATCTCCAAGCTGACCCCTTTGTATTTCCCATCTCTGAAGGGGAAAAAAAAAAAGAGGAAAAAAAAATATTGACAAAATATTGTGTATGAGAAGTAAACGCTAGGTGATGAAGACTTTTTTCCTTTTGGTGCCAGTTACTTGTCTCCTGTATACCTGCTCGCTGTGCCAGGTGCAATCTCAGCTTTTTTTTCCCTTCCCATTCACACCTTCCTCATCCTCTGCTCCCTTCCAGTAAAGAGATTTTGTCAGTTTAGTCATCCCTGGTGGCATTTGGTGATGAATTTGGGGAAGAACTTGGAGCCCCAGTGGTTGAACAATTTAGTTTGCAGAAAGACAGGATTAAAAGTCCTCCCAGGATCTCACAAAGCATCTCATTTTCACACCTTGCTTTCTCAGTCTGTACAAGCATGGGTGATGTCTCTGTGCACATCCCTTGCATGCCACGTGTCCTTGCCTGAAGTTCTGTCTCTCACTCACTCCTCTCTGCCTACACAAGTTAGCTTGTGCTGCACACTGCTCTATTTGCACAGTGGTTTGTGCTGCCTGCTCACTTTCACTCCCAAGCATCAGCATCTTCCTCCTGTCACCCTTGCAGTAACACTGACAGCAATTAGCATTAATCATCATTTTAATTAATCATCATTATTAGTTATAGCCATCACCTGGTGAAGGGACTTGCTGATTTGTCCTTCATCCTGCCCAACCCAGCCTCTTGTTGCAGCTTCCTCCTTGGGGTCTCGGTGTCTTAGCATCCCCTTGTTCCTGTTCACATGCTTTCTCATCACCTCGGCCCCACATGCTGAAAGAGGGGCAGCGAGAAGGGAAAACCAATGGTTTCTCCTGCTGCTTGTAGTAGGAGTGTGCTAAAGAAAGGCAGAGTAAATATTTCCACTGATCAGTAAGTTCTACAGTGTCATCTTTGTACTGAATTAAGGATTTCGTGTCTGAACACAGAGTTCAAAAATTTTTTCCATCTCTGTTCTTCTCCTTGTTTTATCATCCATCAAATTAATAATTAATTGCAGGGAAGAAAAAAAATACTTTCACTGATGTACAACACAGCCTCAAGTTTCTTCTTTCTAGGGCCTTCCAGACTGTCCAACTTCACACTGGATACACTTCATTTTAACAAACTGTAAATAATAAATTGTCACGGCAGCTTCAGGATGAACCTTGGGCTTTTCTCTTGCAATGAGGTAACTGCTGCTTATCTAGGAGCTGAGCTGAGCGTTTGTTGCAGGAACATGAAAAAAGAGAAATGTCTCTTCTGAACATGGACATGGTCTTTTATCTTCAAGTGCAGATAGGGAAGGAATAGAAGAGAGGGACAAGCACCAACGTGGCAGGGTTCTTCTGTTGTTGGTGTTCTTTCTGGTTTTAAGTCTATGATTAGTGCTCAGTCAAGCGCGGAAATTGCAGCAGTAAATAGACTTTGGATGGCTGGCAATTTCCTGAAAGACGGCTAAATTAAGCACCCGCATGCAGAAAGTGCCTCTTGCAGTCTGGAAGCTGTGGGGTGTAAGATAGGCAGGGTTTGTAGTGAGATGTAACGTCACTTCTTAGGTGAACTGAAAGGACCAGAATTAACCAACAGACTCCTTAAAAGCAGCACTCAAAGAACTCATTTGCTTGTTAAGGCTTATCTCCCTCCACAACTACTCGACTGAAGAGGACAAAGCTATTGGCACAGTATTTCCACTTAACAAAGCCACTGCTATCTCCTGCCACACCAGGAGATGACGAATTTGTGGTGTGGCAGAAGGGCCAGGTGCTGGTCGTTGTCTGCGGGATGGCACATTGGAAATGACACAGCTGCAGGGCACCTAAGCCATTTCTCCTCCCAATGCAAGGGGCAAGTCAGGAGGACTCGTGACAAGGGTGCCAAGGAAAAGATCTCTCTGATTTGGCTGTGGATTTGCCTCTCTCTGATGAGTTATGATGTTGGTTTTGGATGGGTTAATTTTCTGTGGGCTTGGTGAGCTGAGCCATACTCTGTGTGACTTCACCCTCCACTGAAAGCTGTCGCCAGTGTAATCTGGGGACCTGTTCCTACCTGTTAAATGAGCACTCCTGGACTGTGAAGCCTTGTGTGCAAGAGGAATAACCATCAGCACTTCTCAGCCCTGCTGCTGGAAGCAGTTCTGACACCAGGTCTGTGTTTCAGCACCTGATGCCGGCAGGGGCTTTGTGGGTTTTCCCAATTTCAGGGAGTATGTGGGAGAAAGAGAACTGAATACCAGCAGGGAGACAATTTCCTCGGCCTCCAGTGATTCCTTGGAGTGGATAAGCAGCTAAAATAGAGCCAGGGAAAGTGCACGGCATTGTGTCTGGCTGTGGCATGCAGGCATTTGTAAGCATTTAGGAATCGTCTGAAGGTACTGGGCTGGCTGTGTTTCAGCTTCACTGCTGGGGGCAGCAGTCACTTAAACTGGGACTGGTGGTGCTGAGGAGCCGGGGCCTGCTCCACAGGGCCTGCTGCAGGCTGCCTGCACCCAGCCCAGCACCGATGGCCTGCGTGGATGCAACAGGTGCAAATATTGATCTAGATCCACTGTACTGTGGTCCCTCTTACTTATCATGTAGCTTCTGGTCAGGTTCAACATTTAAGTCCTAAAAATCCTTGCAAACCTTCGTGAAGGCCACCACAGTTCTGAGATGCCTCGTTTCTGCTGGGCAAGTCCCACACGTCTGCAGAGCTGCAGCAGTCTACAGTGACATTTTGATGCAAGGTTTCTAGGAGCAGAGGATTTTCCCTCTATTATGGGATGCTTTCTGCTCATTTACTCGTTGTGAATTCCCTGGTTGCTAACTTTAGAACAGCTGTGAAAAACCCTTAACATCATCAGTGGGTCATATGAATGAAAATGGTGATGGGCTCTTGAGGGATTAATGTAGCACGTGTTGTTAAGAAATGAGAAACCCACAAGGAAGAGCTCATTGCTTGCACCTTTTCCCTCTCAGCTCCCTGTTCTTGGGGCTAAATTGGCTCGTATAAAGACTGTAAAATTTACAATGAGCTGGCTCAGCTTTTAAGAACAAATGTAGATGTTTTATCCAAGCTGGACAGAGTGCATGCTAAGGGGAAGAGAATCGAGCATTTCACAAGGGCCTCGCACTGCTGTCATTCACTGACTCTGCTCCCTGCCCCCCTGTTCAAGGATCATGGGCAGGAAAGCATACCGTAAGCTCAGAAATGTTCTGCACGCTACCTTGTAGTGCTAATTAAATGCAGCTGATATAAAAGAACAGTTATTTACATATATAAATCTCATTCTCCTACAGGCCCTGCAATTCCTGTTGGGGTGGATGTGCAAGTTGAAAGTTTGGACAGTATTTCTGAGGTTGACATGGTACGTAATCCTCTTTTAAGGCTCGATTATTCCTAGCCACAAAAAGTCCCTCCCACCTGAAATTCAACGGGTTTCAAATTATCAGTCACATGAAAGTGATGGCAGTGTTTGGCAAATACAAAGAGACTTGCTAAAACCAGATGGTGATTAAAGGCTTATCTCTGTACCTTCAGATGAAGATTAAAACTACAAAGGAAAAAGGGACCGTAAATAGGAGAATAATCAGTGCTATGAAGACTCTATCACAGCTAAAAAATTAAACAGCTGCACATGAATATTTGAAAGTATATGGTCAGGTTCATGTAAGCCATGCTATTTGCAAGAGCTTTCTTCCTTAGGGAACCTTTGTGTTCGTTTGCTTCAAATGCATGATATGAGGAGGTGCGTTAGAAAAATAAATTGGTATCATAGTTAAGAAAAAGCTGCTTCTGTGTCTTCATCACTAGGAGTAACCTTGCTGGGACACATGGCTGGGAACTGTAAGGGGGGAGCTGAACCACTTCTGCCAACTGGAATTTGGTGGTGGGGAATTACTCTTCAGTCACTGTCCCTGTTCAAGAAATTTGCACTGAGTTCAGCTGTGATTTAGTATCTTTGTTTTTTATTACTTAAGAAAAGGAAATGGTATAGGCAGTTTAACCCTCAACTGGTTTCAAGGTGTTTTTAGTGAAAGGAGGAAGCATTTTCCTTTTGTTTGGCTGGTTTTGGATATAGGAAGTGGAATAAAAAGACTGAAAGCGAAGTGGGAAGGGGAACATAGAGAAGAAGAGGAAGCTTCTTGGTTCCTTCCTCCTCCTTCTCTTTCCTCCTCATTCTTGGGCACCATATCTGGAGGTGTCCAGGCAAAACATGAAGAATTCAGGGAAGAGCTTTAGGTTGCTATTGCAATGCAATTACATCTTCTTCACAAGCACGCAGCTTGCCTGCCCGACTATTGAAAGAGAAGGTTTGGGGGATGGATGTAATGAAGCATGTGAGGGAGCTGTAAGCACAGGAAAAGGCTGCTGCAAGATTTGGAGCATTCATATATCAGGACAATGTCACAGCTGCACAGAGACCGATGTAGCACAAGTAAATAGCTTTCAATATTTTCTCTGAGGAGTGTCTGATTTCAGCAGAAATCTCACCCATCAGAAAGTTGTGAGGCCAGCTCTCTTTCCCTTAGCTATCTACAATAACTCTGCATCCCAGTTTCCCAGCGCAGGACAAGCACTTCCCACAGCAGCTGCTGACTTGAATTTGGGGTGGAAGGATGCCCTGCAAGGTCGGCCTGGGTTACCTTAGTTTATTTTTTCTAGTGGTCTGTCCCGGAAGGTGAGTGGGTGTTTGTGGAGAGGACAACAGCATGCCAAGGAAAGCAGCCACGGCTGGTTAAAGCATGTGGTCTTAAAAATGGTACTGGTCCATCCAGCACCGATGTGGGATAGCGGGGGATGCTCTCAAGGCTGCCCAGAGCATGGCACAAACACAAAATGTGCTGCCAGATGCAGGGTGTGTATTTCTGTATGCTCACTGTGCCTCCAGCAGGTATTTATTGTTCTCCTGGTTCTCTGCAAAACTTGTTTCCCAAGGGACTTTCCTACTCATGGGCTATGAAATAACCCCCTTGTTTCAGTTTGTAACGAGCACGTGTGCTGGTCAGAAGGGAACAAGCTGCCAGTGCACATGGATGAGCAGAGGTGACTCTCTGGTGGGTCTCCACTGTGGTCAGAGAGGAAGCTGGGGTGTCCTCCAGCTTTGCAAATGTGTACATATATTGATATATTTGATATATTCCTGAAAAACCCACAGGCAGTGCGAGACTGTTGCCAGAGGAGCCCTCTGAAATGGAAAGTCGGGTTAGATGATGGCTTGTCGTCAGCGAAAGGAGGAGGTGGTGGTGGTTTTAAAATGCATTTGCTGAGTGGGTAGGAAGAGATCTGAGCCTGGGCTGCTGCTTGCCCAGGACTGACAGCTACAGCTCCCGTAACCACTTGCTTAATTGGGAATATAAAGAAAAAAGTGTATTTGATCTCTCGGCATAACGGAGTAGATGCAGCTCTGAACGCAGCAGCTGCCAGGTTGGGATCAGCAAGCAGATGTTTTCCTCCGTGTGGCTGCAGCTCCTGCCCCCTCGATGAGCTTAGCGGAGAGCTTTATTTATACGCTTGTTTGGTAGGGAAAACACTTCCCCCGCTTGGCTGCTGCTTGCAACAGTTCAGTTCTTTTAGGGGTGAGTTACGTAGCGTTTAACCTGACCATTAAGATTATTTTGAAAGGTTTCCCTCTCCAACATACTCCCAGGGCCATAGTCCTTGAGGATAATTTTGCAGGGATTGAAGAATCCTCCCAGCAGGGCAGTGCCTCTCTCGGGGCATGTTCATGTCTCCTTCAGGACCGCCTTACTGGGCACTACAATCCACTGTTTGTGGATTTATGCCTTGTTTTGGCTGAAATTATTTTGTCAGGACTATCAATTCACACCGAGCATTGCCCCAGAAAATAAACAGAAGTCCAGAGGGGATGGATTTCATCTGCCTGCTGGGAGTGAGTTTTCTTTCTGGTGTGTTTTAGATGTGAAAAGCAGCTCTGACAGCCCTTTCTCTGGCTCTCTCCCTTTTTCCTGAAGGACTTCACCATGACTCTGTACCTGAGGCACTACTGGAAGGACGAGCGCCTCTCATTCCCCAGCACCACCAACAAGAGCATGACCTTCGACGGCAGGCTGGTGAAGAAGATCTGGGTCCCAGACGTCTTCTTCGTGCACTCCAAAAGGTCCTTCATTCACGACACGACCACGGATAACATCATGCTGCGAGTCTTCCCCGACGGGCACGTCCTCTACAGCATGAGGTAAGGGCACGGCCCCATGGTTCCTGGACGCTCCCTGGGGCTTTGCTGTCAGTTTTGCTCCCAATGTGGCTATCATGACCACCAAAACTGCTGCTGCTGACTCTGCTGCTCCCACAGCTGATGCAGAGCCCCGTTTCCAGCATCTCCAGTACCAGATGCTTTGCAGGACGCTGCGAGGGACCACGTTGTGGGCAGTAACAGGATAATCTCCCCGAGGGAAGCATTCCCCTAAGTCTGTGCAGTCAGAGGAAGGCTTAGTCAAGCAGGGATGTTCATCCTGGGGTCAGTGTGTGATTAAACTGGAAGCTGCAGATGTACCAGATGGTGACCTCTATAATTATCCTATTCTGCTTCCTGTTTGTCTGGAAAAAGGTTGTTTTTGTTTGTTTGTTTGTTTCATTTTTATGTTGATGTAAAGGTTTAAGTTTACTGAAGCTGAAACAGCAGTACTAAAGACACACTGGAGTCCCCAGTTTTCTAGCAGATTTGCTGGCTGGAAGAATCTGGAGGCACAGCCCAGCTGATTGCATTTCCTTCAGATGAACGCAAAAAAAGGACTCAAAGAAAAATACACTGCCAGAGGAGAAAAAATAAAGAACCCAGACAAAAGGACATTCCCCAGGACAGGAAAATTGCCCTCAATGTACAGCGACCTTTTAATGTTTCATGGCACAAGGATTTCCTTTCTAGGACCTTTCTGGAACTTACTCACTTTAGTTATGCTAAAATATTTCTCAAAAGCTATGGAAGTGTTTTTACTTATTTATTACTTTATTTATTTATTCAATTCAGGCAGGGGGCTATTTCTTTTGAAAGAATAAGCATAGTGTATGATATCTTCCTAAGCAGGACAACATCCCACCAATCCAGGGTGTCCTAAAGTTCACTTGATCTATATTCCAAATACAGTTCTAATTTATTTGAAAAACCCTCAACAAATTATTAAAACCACAAAGAAACGTGTGTAAGAAAGAGAGACGTACTATAAGGGCACTCCATTTTGCCCAGTCCTACTGAGCTACAAAATCCTATCTTGTCCAAACATCTAGGAACACTTTCCCTCTTTTGAAGCCATTTATTGCAGGAAAGGTCTGACTGCTCACAACTCAACTAAGCACCTAAAGATGTTAAAGATACTTTATTGGAACTGGAAAGGACAAAGGTACCACACAGAAGTTTTTAAGTTTGGCTCACATGGCAAAACTCTGCTCTAGTTTATAGTTAAAAGAAACAGCATGTGCTTTCCTGGGGTGATGAATACGTAGGTTTTGGATCACGGTCCCTTGAACAAAAGAACAGCTGTTTATAGACATCTGCAATGAATCTAGAAAATGGTCACAGCCAAAAGAAGTCAGCTTCTGTAATGATGACTCACAGCTGATTTGCCCCTACTGAACTGGGAGCTCCTCTGCAAAACTATCCATGAGAGCAAGTTCACCGACCCACTGAAAAACCTGTTACACAATCTTCTGCACAAGTGGACTCATTTAAAAACTGGAGCTGTGATTTTTGCAGCTCTTTAAGTATGATGTGAACTTAACAGAGGCAAATCTCATGCCTTGAAATACAGCTGCACCCATCTTACACCCCCTGCCACAGAAATGCACTGCACAGATATAAAGAATCAGTCTGAGGACAGAAATAAACTATTTTTGCCTTAATAATATCTATACTGGAGGAATTTTTTGTCTTGCAGTAAGGCTGGTCATGCTCCTCAGGTTTGGGTTATTGTTGGTGTGACTAGAGAGGAGAGTGATCAAAGGGAAAATGAGGAAACCTTAAGCAAACTGGACATTAGAAGACCTTGAAACACAAATGGTGAAGATATTCTTTTGTTTTTGCCTTCTAGGGAAATAGTTGGATATAAAACATGGTGGAAATATCCGTATTGACATTAGTATTACTGTAATGTCCAAGACAGTACTTTAGTTCCTTGACAGGTATTGAAATTACAGTTTCCACTGGAGTTTCTGCGTATAATCCATCTCCCTACTACTTGAGGAATTTCTAGGCATTTTCTTGGGGATTTTTGCTGGCTTTAAAGATGTAAAATTGCCTGCGTGTCTGAATGTTCTCCCTTCGCTGCTCCTCACGGAAAACAACCTTTCTTATTTTTGCCTCCTAGGATCACAGTGACAGCGATGTGCAACATGGACTTCAGCCGCTTCCCCCTGGACTCTCAGACGTGTTCTCTGGAGCTGGAAAGCTGTACGTTGCATCTGTGTTCCTAGCTAGGCACGCTCCAGAGCTGCTGCACTCACAAAAACTGGACATGTTTCAGAATACAGTCTGTTTTAAAGCCTGAAAAAAAGCTCACCAAAGTCCCTGATAGTCTTTGTATTGACTTATTGGCTTGTACATCTGGGCCTTATGCTGCAGGACAAGGGAACTGGCACAGAAAGCATTCTTGTATGAATTTTGGTAGATGGCACTTTCAAAACAAAACAAAACAAAACAAAAACCAACCAACCAAACAAACAAACAAACAAAATCAATAGAAGTGTTCAACATATACTGGTTCTCAGCAGCTTGCTGATGAGAAATTTGGGGGGAGAAGTTGAGTTCTGTTCATTGTTGCTGACTGGCAGCTGGTGCCTTCAAGTGTCACAGCACAAAGTAGAGTATAATGATCATTGATTTTCTCTAAATTTCATCAGCCACGTGGCTAATGTATGATAATTGTGATCCTGCAAACTCTGTGGCTTGGGGTCAGCTTCTTTGGGAAGGAGTTGTTCTGTGGAGAAAATGAACAGTAAAATTTTCATGGCTGTTCTGTAAACTTTCTCCGGGTTGGGCCAAGACTTATGTCTAACTGTTTTGAAGTCCTCTCAGCCATTTAATTGAAATTTTCCTTTAGAACTAATAGAATCACAGAATTATGCAATTATTTATATCAGTTTTTAAGTTGATAATGAGACCAACTGGTCAAACATGGTCAAAGCAGGGAGAACTTTAGAGTGGCTTTCTGAGGGTTGTGCCTCAGTGGGTTTTAAACATCTGCAAGGTAATAGGGGCTCCACAACCTCTCTGTGCTACATATTCAAATGTTTGACTGCCCTCATCATGAAAAAGTTGCCTTTTACTTGCTTGGAAAGAATCCTTTGATGCAGCTTTGGATTTTGTGGAACCCCCCTACACCTTGTGCTCCAGCACTCAGCCACCTTGACAACCCCTTCATTCCCCATTTCTGCCACCAAATATATCAAATAACTCCTTAAGATTTTCACTTACAGTCTTCAAACATTTCTAGACTTTTGCTTCAAATCACACTTGTCGTTTTTTTGCCATTGTCACTCCAAGACAGCTTGAGGTATCTGCATTTCCCCATTCCTCTAAATTCAGCCATTTTACGCATAGCTATTTCCTGAATTATTCTCATGAGTTAGCAATACTTTGATCTTTGATATGTGATGCTCAGAAAAGTATCATATTTTCCTGTAGTTTTACCAATATAGAGTAAAAAAGACGATGTGTTTCCCTGAATCAGGATGCCATGTTGTTTTGTTGTTGTTGCCCTGCTGTATCATATGGTAAGATCATTTTCACTCGCTGTTATTAGAAAACTTTTTTGTGGTATTGCTTCACATTAAAGACCACTTTCTGTTTGTTAATCTGTTGTCTGTTGTTCTCTGGATCTATTAATCCTTTTTCTTTTTTTTTTTTTCCCCCCTCCAAGCTAAAACCACACTACATTGTGTTTTTTCTTTCCCTAAGATGCTTACACTGATGAAGATCTGATGCTGTATTGGAAAAATGGGAATGAATCTCTGAAAACGGATGAGAAGATTTCTTTGTCTCAGTTTTTGATACAAAAATTCCACACCACATCAAGACTGGCTTTCTACAGTAGCACAGGTATTGGACTTTTCTGATTTGCTGCTGTTGCTAAAGCTACTGCTAATGCTATGCTGACTGCTAGTGAGAGGGCTCTTGTCCAACTCCTTCTTGCACTTGTCTCCTGTAGGATTGTGTGACACTGAAATGCAGCCTCCACTGTCCGGACAACTCATGTTTTGATGGATCAGTGTGCCTTTTCTCTACCCTCTAGAAACAAAAGATCAAAAGGAAGATCTTGCCTAGCTGCACCTGCCATTTGGGCTGTTCTCACTGATTCTGCCTTTCCTCCTTTCTCACAGGTTGGTACAATCGCCTCTACATCAACTTCACATTACGTCGACACATCTTCTTCTTCTTGCTCCAGACCTACTTCCCCGCCACTCTGATGGTCATGTTGTCCTGGGTGTCCTTCTGGATTGACCGCCGAGCAGTTCCTGCCAGAGTCTCTTTGGGTAAGAGCAATCCCGACTGTGTGAGAATCTTTGAATGTGAAAGTTTTGGCAGGAAAGGGAACTGTTAAAGTTTTTGGGGAAGCAACTGTCTCTTATCTGATGATTAATATCTTGCAAAACTTGCAGTTTGTCCGTCATTGCCAAGCAATCCTCTATATTTAGTTCAGGACAGAGAGAGCTGTGGTTTAAAAAAGAAAAGTGGGCAGAGAAGAGAGGTTTCATAATTCATGCGTCAGTGAACCAAGATTTTATCCCATTGCCCAGTCCTGTAGTGCTGAGACGCGTGCTGCTGTCAGTGAGGGTCATGTTTTACAGTTTAAGCACCTGAACAGAGGTTAAGGCTTCTGTTACAGCTTTCATCAGTGCCTAGAGTTGGATACAGAGCAGGATCCTGCCCAGGTGTGTGTCTTCTCAACCAAGTGTGCCCTGTGTTGAGGATCCAGGGGTTCTGGAGTGGGGATGTCTCTCATTTGAAGGAGTGGGAAGGAGAAGGCTTGAAAATCCTGCACACACCACTTTGCATCTTTGGACATCTGAAGACCCATCAGGAGGAGCTTTGTCTGTGCCAGAGCTGGAGGAAATGCTTTCATCTGAGAATAGAAATAAATGATTTGTTTATTACTCCGTACAAAGATCAGAGAAAGAAAAATCTCTGAATTTTGATATATAAGGTTTCCAATACTAAAAGCATAAAACAGTATTTTAGCCCCACACTTTGTCTCAATTAGAAAGCTGTGCGCTGCAGCAAACATATGAGAAGAGGCAGCCAAAAATCTACTCCACTGAAAGAAGTCTGTTCAGTGGATATAAAAAAAAAAGAAAAGGAAGAAATAAAAGAGAAAATGATGATAAAATGAACAACACTAACTGTATTTGCAGAGGTCACTACTTTGAAAAGGTTGAAGTAGCTGTCAATGCTTTGTGGCTACATTTCTCTACTTAAGTGGCTTTGACAATTTGTAAATATTTTTGTCTCCATGACTACTCAAAGTAAGCATATACTATTTTGCAGGGTTTTATCTGTATCTATTTAAATATATATACACACACACATATATATATATATTTACATACAAATAGCTACACATGCACACATCTATATAGGTAGCATGGGGTGGTTTTCAAAACTTTTTAATTCCCACTGCTCAAACTGCAAAGTATTACAGGTAAAAACATCATGCCATTCTTCTGCACTCTTTAATATAAAACCTTTCTACCACACAATTAAAAGTATTTATTTTATCTTCATTGCATACCTGTTATAGTGCCTGTGACTTAGATCAAATCCTCTTTTGCTGTGACCAGAGGTCAGGTTGCTTTCTGAGTTTCCTTGAAACTCAGCCCTTCATATGCACAAAGTGCAGGTGGTAAAGCAGTTTTGCATCACCAGAAGAGATACTTATCAACAAATACTTCACATCTATTATCTGCCAGAACATTCTGTAGAGCATAATTCTATTTTTTCTTGAGGCAAAAGCCCTATGGACTGGATCAGCTAGTAACATTTATTTCTCTTGGTTCTTTCCAGGGATCACCACCGTGCTGACCATGTCCACAATCATCACGGGGGTGAACGCCTCCATGCCCCGTGTTTCCTACATCAAGGCAGTGGACATTTACCTGTGGGTCAGTTTTGTGTTTGTCTTCCTCTCGGTGCTGGAATACGCGGCCGTGAATTACCTGACCACTGTGCAAGAGCGGAAGGAGAGGAAACTCCGGGAAAAGGTGAGGAAAACTGATCTTGTTTAGCCATTTATTTATTTATTCATTTATATTTAAAGCTGACCTGGTCTTTCTGTTGCATTCAGTAGGTGTATTGGCAGCGTTGTTCTGTGAGACCAAGCATACTCTAACAGCCAAGTTTATGCTCACAATTTTTAAAGTGCCCAGCTAATTCCCAAACCAAACACAGGAGTGTTTTGGAGCTTGTTGGCCTGGATAAAATTGAGGCCAGAGACCTTTCTGACACTTCAGTAGTGTTGTCAGTTAAGCTCCCATGCCTAGGGACACTCTTTGGCAGTATTTAATTTATTGATGTAGACAGAGACTAAAATTGCTGCAGGGTGAAATTATGCAGCGTCCTTCTGTGTGTATGTGTTTGTGGAGACAGGTATGATTTAAGACTGTGTGGAGGTGGCCTTCTAGTACATCAGGCTCCCTTGTCCACGTGGGTGACTGTCAGCACACAGCACATTAAACCAAAGGAACTGCAACAAGGGAACTGGGGGCTAAAAGTACATCTGCAGAATGTACTTCTTTCTCTGTTAGGTCCTGCAACAATTAGCCTGCTGCCTTTAACTGCTTTCCCTTCCACCCACCATCTCCCAGATCTGTCATCAGTTGATGATAAAGTGTCTAACATAATTCTTTCCTTTTTTTTTGGTTTGGTTTGGTTGGTTGTTTTTTTCTTTTTTCTTTATTTATTTATTTTGTTTGAGAGAGGAGGATAAAAGAGATATGATTTATCTTTGAAGAGAGATAAAACTAAGCTTATCTCTTTATGCAACAAAAAACCCCTCAAGTTGCATGTACACCTGCTTTGCATAAAGTATGTCTTAAAACCCAGTTATTCAACTGTACACATGAAGTGCTCCAAAAAGTTCCCAGAGTGATAGGACTAACATGTTAGAGCAAACGGGCTACAAACTTGTCACATTTTCTTTCTTAACACCATCTGCTGCTATCAAAGCATTTGGTTATGACTGTAACACAGAAAACAGTTCATAAATCATTTTCCAGGCTTTCAGTAAGCAACACGAGCTGTTGGTTAAATTGAGGAGCAAGTCTTCAGTGTGGAGTTTTCCAACAGCATCCTGAATATACTGTATTTGTGTGTATATATCCTTTACTACATTAGTTGAACTTATATAAACAATTCCTTGAATAATCCAACCATCAAAGCTGGCAGAAGAGGGAACTGGGGGCAAAGTGTTACTGGGTGAGGAAAGCACAGAGCAATCTTTGGGGAGTCAGAGGCAGCAACACCTCACAGAAAGGAGGTTTTGGAATCCATTTTTATTTCATATAAATATATAATCCATGTTGCTGAGAAAGAAAACATACAGATTTTATCTGTGAGAGTATAGTATTTGCTATTCAAAATTCTACCTGTATTCACTGTGGGATGCACTTTGGCGCTGCTGAAATCAATGTGAGTTTTGACATTGACTTAAACAGAGCTGGGATTTTACACTGGACTTCTAACTGAATCTTACCCTCATTTAAAACCAGTTTTACACAGGAAATGCATTTATCTGTGAAACAGAACTTGGCTCTTTTTCCATAATATGTACTGAATAACCCACTGACACAGATAAAACTGTATCTCGCCTTTGAATGTTTGTAAGCACAAAGAATGCAAAACAAGGAATCTCAAGATAGCAAGGCTGAACAGAACTAGCTGAGAAAACTCTTAAAAGAAAGACACCATTTCTGTTGTTAACATGCTCTTCCAGTGTTCAGCTGTGTTTCTTGTTTGTGTTCCTAGTTTCCATGTACATGTGGAATACCTCATTCAAAAACTATGATGCTGGATGGAAACTACAGTGAATCTGATGCCAACAGCCTGGCAGGATATACAAGAAGCCAGATGGTCCCAGAGGAAGAAAAACAAGAAAAGATGGTTGTGCACTTAGCCATGAGCAACGCATCTAATTCATCAAGGAAGAGAGGCCTGAAGGGCCATGTGGGCTTACGCATCATCCAGAACACTCACGCAATTGATAAATACTCCAGATTAATATTTCCAGGCACCTATATATTTTTTAATTTGATATATTGGTCTGTCTTTAGCTAGGCACGACTGCACAGCAATGACTGAAGCAAAAGACATTTACAAAACTCTCTTGGTTGGTTCTTTTTTAAGTTCAGTTTGGATGCAAAGCCAGAAATCTGAACATTTTACAGCTGTTTTGGCAGGTAAAGTGAAGGACACGTGCCAGTGGGCAACTTCATGCACATCATGGAGAAGCCTGCTGTGCCAGTTGCTTTCCAACCCACTCCCCAGCTCCCGTTTGCTTTGTGATACATTGCTGTTTCTCATACTTGAAAATATATGCTCACTGTTTGCTCAAAAGGTGCTGTATGTATCTTTGGGGCTGGCAACACTGGAGCTGCCTGCTGTGCAATGGACAACCAGAGAGTGCGTTGAAACAGGCTGTCCTGGGGAATTTGACATATGCAACTTGCAAAGAGCGGCCTGGGCAGTCCATCTCCTGAAAGGGGTCTGAATGAGGTCTCTCCTTTCAAAAATCTCTCTTTGACCAACGACTTTTATTTGGCTTATGAATACCATGTTTCTTTCCATTGACTTATGAGCCAAACATCCATTTAGGGTCGAAATTGTGTTCTCTCTGGACAGGACCTACTTCGATACCAGCAAGACTGTTGGTTGTTGAGGATCCACAGGGCTGGTTACAGAGTGCAGGTGGTATGTTTGAGTGAGTGGATAAAACAGAACAATGAATTCATAGCCCATGAATTCACAGCAGATGGCTCCCAGGGTATGTGCATAATGAAAACAGGGAGGTTTAGGCATGTGTTTCCATATAAGCTAAGTGTAGCACGTGATACGTAGCACCTCACCTCTAAAATGAGAAGGAAAACTTGTGAGGAGCATGCACAGTCGCTGCATGGGAATGGGCATCATCTCTGGGACCATCATTTTCTTCAGAAGTAGAAAACATTGTTGAGAGAAGCACAGGTAACTATCAAAGATTTTCCTCACCCCTGTGAGGAAAGCACAGCCCACAGAGAAACAGTATATCCCGACATGCCTCTCCAAATCAACACATTGCCCTTCTGATTAGGGATTTTGGATCAAGTGGGAGAGATGCCTGTCAGAACTTCTTTCCACAGAAATATAGACATGTCAGAGACTGAAGTGGCAAGGATAATACTGTGGGATTCAGTGAAACCCTGTCTGGCCTCTGGCTACAAGGTCAATGTAAGTCCTTTGAAGCTATTGGAAAGCATTGTAAAAAATTACAGAGCTTGGCATTTCATTTTCCATCCAGTGATATCTGCCCTTCCTTTGCTAACAGCACGGACAACAAAACCCAAATGTTTCTACACAATAGCAGCAAGACAATGATGGACTAATTTGCATGCCTTTTATTTATAAAAAAAACACCATGGCTTTTTGGCTGTGGAGGAGATTATATTCATCAAAGCATTTGGTTGCCAAGCTGAAATTCAGCAGGATGGGCAAAGCCTGAAGTATGAAGATCTGGGACTGAAGTTAGAAAGCAATTCAATGATAAGATTCAATTACACATCTGACTAGGGTTGGGCCAGGAAGATTCATCTAAATCACATTAATACAGGAGAAACAAACAAGCAAATAATAAAACTGTAACTCTTTGTTGGTGTGTGAATTTTCCTGCTTACTGTCGCCGTAAATCTTACATCTTAAATCTGAAGAGATGTAGAAGTGGGCTGGCAATTGTCAACTCCGGGCTGTCAACAACACCCAGAATTTTCCTTGTGCCTCAGATATTGCTGCCTAAGTCACACCGATGGTCACGCTGGTATACTGGAAACAAAATTGATCAGAGGAATTAAATTAAGAACGGTGTACCCCCTTCATCAGCCATGTTAATAACTGTCATTTACGGAGTCCTGTGTGGTCATGGAAGTAAGAAAACACAGCCCTGAAATCACTACAGAAGGGAAGCGATGGGAGGACAGTGTCTGAGAGGAAGCCTTGTCCTCTCCCCCAGCCTGACATTTCTCTCTTGGAGCCATCAGCATTTACCACACCCTACTGGACAGTTCTGTCATCAACAAGTGGGGATAACCACATTGAAGAGGCAAAAACTATTAAAAAAAGAGAGCCTAGTCAACTTTTGAGATGTTAAAGCAGGATGTGTCCCAGCACTGTGATGGGGCAGGGGAGCAGGGCAGGCAGGGGCCTTTGCCGGGGCCATGCGCTGCAGGAGGCCGGCAGGCCTGCACCACCAGGCCCGGTGCTGCCATTCAACTTCCCGGTGCCTCGGCTTCTCCATCTGGAAGATGGGGGGCAATGACATTTACCTACCTCAGGAGGGGCTGAACGGCTTAGCTAGCATGTGTGTGGAGCACAGTAATGGTTCCTGAACCTTGCTGTTACTGTACACGCCTGTGTACGTGACTGACAGATTGGTGTGTGGTGAAACATCCACATCTGTTTCTACCAGACACAATTATACAGCCTGCAACGTCATCAAGAGGAGTATTTTTCCATTAAAGGAAAAAAAAAAAATCTCTATCGTGGGCACTGCTTATAATTATTACTCATTAAAACAACAGATGAAAAATATAGTTGTGAATAAAACCAAGGCATTTGCTTCAGGCAGCTTATGAAATGTGTTTTTCTGCTTATTAGGAGGAAAATGGCTAGGCACGAAGCTAGAGCAAATATTAAAGTATGATATTGAGAATGTATTTCACTTTTCATCTCTCCCGGTTTCCAAGAGACTTCACGGGCAGTAATGTACAATCACAAGATCCATCCAACCAATATTTTGAAAATAGTGCCTGAAGCCAGGCTCTGACCACTGTTGGATGGATGCAACCCAGTTCTGTGATGCACTGAGCATCTGGACAATTAACCTACTGAAGGACAGGATTTTCAGAAGTGTACAATGGATTTGGGCAAATAAAGCCCATGAGTACACCATCTCTGAGTAACCTGGTCCAACCACGAAGAGACAAAATGTCGGCTCCAATCATTCTGCGTCTGCCTGCATTATATTCTTACTACTGTCTAATCAGATAATGTCTTTGAATAAAAACCAACAACTATATATATACACACATATATATGTACACATATGTATAATGTATATACGGGTAGCATATAACAAAGGAGGACACTGGGATGTGTACCTATGTCAAATAGTGTACATATGTGAAATTGTAACATATAGTATGTAAATTAACCTTTATTATGCCCAAGAAAATTTACAGATTGTGCTGATTTGAAGAAAGTCTTTTATTGACAGCCAATGGCCATGAAATATGGCATTTGCAAGTTATTCCATAAATAAAAGTTATGGGTTCTCTCACGTTTTCCTTCTGAAAAAGGACATGTTGAGAAAGCTTGTGAGGAATGCTGGTGCTAAACCTGTTGTACAAGGGGTACAAACCACTGTGCTGATCACTGTAATCAAACCTGTTAATAAAACAGAAAATGGAAAGGATGGGAATGAGTCCATTTCATGGTGTGAACTTTAAAGTGTGATTTAAATTCTGTTTGGAGATCTGCTAGCTACAAGTTAATGCCCAGTGGTAGAGGATTTGAATAAACACCTCATTTGTAATTGATTTTAAATGAAAAGCATTTCAAAAGGTGGAAGAAATTCAGTGGAAGCATTCAAGTACTTTGAAATACGCAAAGCTCCTTGGAAAAACTGAGCCATTAATTACAGCTATAAGCTACAGAGACCTTTTGTGAAAACTGCAGCCCACAGCTGAAGAAATGTTAATAATTACTTTAAATTTCAGGGCACGTTTTTCAGGGCAGGTAGATTTCTCAATCTCCATTTGACTATAAATGAGAGCTTTACATATAATTCATCCTTTGTGTCTTGAAAAGATTCTCTCCACACTTAGTAATGGAAGATAAAACTGCCTGTAGTTCCCAGCTGCCCAATCTTTGCTATTATCCCTAACGCAGACAATACAACTGAAAAGAAATGTGCACGGGCTAAACTGATACCAGGACCACTGAATAATGGCTATTGTCTGTCAAATTTCCACATTGAAAGGATTAGAGTAAAGCATGGTCTAACTAAGTGAGATGCTGCCCTCCTGAAATTTAAAGAACTGCAAAATGCATTTACAAACAGCAAGACTTTAGCACTATAAAAATTAAAATGTAATCCAGTATCACAGTAAGCTGATTAATTCCTTTACGAAAAAAAAAGACATTTGAAATAACGCATTGGGGTCATTATTCTCCTGGTTAGAGGAATTACTGTTTCAGATGAAGTGAGAACAGTGGGGAGAGACACCAGACGTGAGCAGGATGAGTTGCTGCTCATTGTGTCCAGTTCTTGTGGCCATATGGGGTGACCACAGGCGAGGAGGGGAGGACCCAGCTTTCCCAAGGCAGCTGGTGCCTGGATATCACACATCATCATGTGGCATGCATTGATTTGGGCTAGAAGAAGCCATCCTCTGCTGTGTGGGACAAGTCCTTCAGCTGGCTCCCTTTAGTCAGGCTCTACTCCACAAGCCGACCAAGGCCCTAGACAGTAAATGCCCTCAATAACTTCCCAAAGCACTCAGCAGAAAAGCTCCAGGCTCTTGGTTCCTAGGAGATGCTCAAGGTCAGCCATGGCTGTCCATACAATGTTCTCCAAATAAACCATGCCTTATGCCACCAGCTTTTGACGCTAACCTTCATTGTCTCTGTAGAAGAAGACTTCACCTGCCCATGTATATCAGCTGTGGGGTCACAGGTAGCAAGCAGCACAGCTGGAAGCCCTGCTGTGCTATGCTGGGATTGCTGTGGGCACGATGTGGTGGGGCCCAGCCAGTGACTGATTTCCAAGCAGATTTGATGGCCTGTGTATGGCTGGCAGCAGCAGGACCCAGCCCTGAAGTGGGGGGATCCCCACAAGCAATGGGGCAGTGGAGTGGGGTGGTGGTGCGTGGTGATGTAGCTGTTTTGGCAAAAGGTTTGGATTCAGTTCCAGCCACCTGTGTTATTAGCTGGTCCTTAGCCAGCCTTTCACGGGGCACTCACATGACATTGATGTGCCATGAAGGGTATTCCCCATGCCTGCCTTCGGAGACCCCCTAACCAGGGCAGCCTCGTGTTGCCTGTTCCTCAGAGCAAATAGAAAGCCCTTAGAAGATGACTAGAAGATTGATTTCTGCCTTTTAGTAAACATACATGACTCATCTTAGCCAGCTGTCCAAATGGGATTGCTCCCACAAGACTTTCGGGGTGCTCTGAATGTTGATATGTGCCCTTGCAACCAAAGAAATTAGCTTAGGAAATGTGCCTGGGAACCCAATCCGTGGAAAATGCATATAAATGATGTGGAAAAAAAAATAAAGATTTTACTGCTCTACTTGTCACACAGATTTATAGAAGAAAATTGTGTGTTTAGCTTAGAGGGAATTCAGAGAGGGAAATGAAAGAACAAGTTAATTGTAACGACAGTTTGAATTACTTGAACAAATATATTTTGGGAAATGGGGCAGAACTCTACCCTCCTGGCTCTTTCCATTTTATCTGGATTTTTATTACGGTCCAAATTCATTTCAACCATAAAATTTTAAACCTTTCTTATATAGGTGCATAATAAACACATATTAAAGGTAGGGCTGGGAGGAGACCTTCAGTGCCTCAAGCTGACTGTAATCGCAATGGCCTCCAAGTAAATACGTGCATTTTTGTCATCTACAGTTTCAGTTATGTTGTTCCACAAAATAGGAAAGGCAGAATTAATCAGCCCAGAGGTGGGGAGACAAGACACTTTCCAAGGAGCTGGACAAGAGAAAGACCACATCACTGCAGCAAGAAGTATCCTTGGCACCTCACGCATGTTGCTGGGTGCTCGAAGTGGTGCTGAGGAAGACTTTGTAAGACTATGTGGGGAGGGAAGCTCTGGTCAAGCTGGGTCTGGAGACTGTAAGCAGCTCAGACGGTCACCCCCAGCTGTGAGCATGAAATGGCTGCCAACTGCCACCCCGGGGGTGGTAACAAAGAACATTTCCTCAACCCATGGTCCCACACGATGTGCCCCTGCGGGCCCCCTTTCTTTGTGGGGTTGGTGTTGCCAGATGGCTCCGATCTGCCCCAAGGATGGAGAGTGGAAAGAAAGGTTTCTCTTCCTCACAGGGCAGGGTGGGAGGCTCTGTATTTGTGTTTTGTCCATGAAGGAGATCAGTGCGGTTCTGCAGATGTGATGGGTGTTTGCAGGATTTTGCTGCCAGATTCCTGGCACATCAGAGCTCCCTTTCCTCATGTTGATGGCCCTGGGAGGAGGAGGAGGAGCCCTTGCTTCACAAGGCTGGCTAGTTTGGAGAGGGGCAGGTGTACGGCACAGAAAGCAAGGACAGGATCGAAATGGGAGGCCCTGCTGATTACGTGGGGCCAAATGGTCTGCCCCAGGCTCTCAGGCACTCTGTGCCCTAAATGACCAAGGAAGTGAAAACTGTAACTCAATTAGGAACTGAGCTGTTAGTTGGAAATGGCACTTCCTGAGCTGACCGGAGCCCACCCCAGCATTCATACAGCATGAGGCTGGGGCACGAGCTCAGTGTGTGTCATTCAGACACACCTGATGCCTGACATGATGCTGCCCAGGGCTGATGCTGCCCCTGGCTAGCCTTCCCCAAGCTCAGCCTCCCATGGAAGGGCTCTCCCACCTCCTAAATGTGGCTTCCTTAAAAAAAAAAAAAAAATTAAAAAAAAAAATAAATCATGGCTGTTATGTTTCTGCTTCTCTCCTTTAGTCCTCTGGGAGCTGACATAAACACTACAGCGTGTCAATATTCTTCCCACGTCACAGCTGGTGACGAAAGTCACCCATCAAAATGTGTGACTAACAGCTCCAGTGCTCTGCCAGAGGAAGAGATCACCGAGGCTGCTTTTCAAGTACAAACCCCACCCGCAAGGCTACTTCCTTACCACATCCATCTATTCAACCAGTTGGTTTAACCAGGCTAATTGGTAGGAGATAAAACGACTTTGTACAAACAAACAAACAAAATATTATGTCTGAGGCACTTGAAGTCCAGAATTTCATGCCTGAGACTCTCAAGTGTGTGGATGCTGCAGTACAGCCCGGTGTCGACACACCTTTATGTGCCACCCTCTCTCCACATGTTTCAGAGGGCCAATTCAGGCTTATAGATCTTGGTTGTCTAGTTATGCTTGGCACTGGGGTGTCTGCACTGCCTTTTGTGCCAGCTCCCATCTCTCTCCCTGAGCCTGGATGTGCCTGAACACTGTGAGCACTTTGCCCATGCCCTCCCCTCTTCCTGCTTTCAGGTAACCAGCTCAGCGGGAAGGACTTCACACTTTGCTGCCAAGCAGCCTCCCCTCCAGCCATCTTCTGCTGTCTGCCACGCCCCTTGTTTCTGCCCAACACGAATTTGATTATTTATTTATCTATGTTTTCGGTGTATGGGTTTTTAAACTATTTCATTAAGCGCTTTGTTATGCTGCATGGAGGTTACCGCTCATCCATGAGCAGCATCCCTCATCTCTCCCGTAACACCTGCTAACCCCTCCTGGCAGCCCAGAAGTGAGGAGTTGCTGAACATGTACAAAATCACTACAGGGGAGACCAAATCCCAATCCTGACTTGAATAAGCTCTCACACAGAAGTGCCTCATCCCGCAGCCAGGCAGCACAGCGGAGGGCAGAGGGCCGGGCCCTGCCCTCACCCCCTGCAGCACTGCTTGCGTGGGCAGGCAGGCTGCGAGCTGGGCCTCTGAACGCCTGGGATATGTATAAGTGCATTTTCATATTACATCTAACGTAATAAGTCAGCTAAATGCCCCTAGTCCGGGGAGGGCGGCATGTTAATAAACCCTCGTTACCAACAGTTGACAGTTGGTTAGCACAGATTAATCCTTAATGAAGAAAAAACCTCTTTATGTAATGTAACGCTTCTGGCTGTGGATCAGGGGTTGCAATCATCCACCCACACCTGACCTCTAAATCCGGCTTTGTTCCACCACAGGAAAAATAGACCCCAAAAATACCTACTTGGAGCTCAGGCCGTATCACTTGGACCCAAACTCCACAATATGCTACAGAACAGCACAGGGAGGCAGGAGGGGACCTGGACACACCGGGGTGACATGGCCACGTGTGAAACAGCCAGCAGAAAGCAGGAGGCCCATGGGGTTTGGCAGGGGACACCATGGGGCCACCCTGCAGGGCAAGGGTCCAAGGCATTCTCCCGGAGCTGTGGGATGAAAAATAAAACCAACCAGAGAGCCAAACCCGCTGAAAGCATCATTAAATAATGCCTATAATAACTTTGGTTGTGAAGAAGTAAAATCGCTATGGTTATCCCAAGGGTACTGATACAATTAAAGTGATTCACACACAAGAAAGGGAAAGAGTTACACCTGGGAGTGCTGGCTTTTACTGCTCTTTCATCTTACTCATCACCTGGTAGGAGCCAGCCTACCGGTTTTCTGATGGTCTCACAGAAAATATGTGGAA